TTTAGTTTTTAATTATTTCTCAAAAATGTCAAAAGCCTAGAAATAGCGCGAAAATCTCCAAAATATATTGAAAATATTTTACCACGTCTAGAAAATGTTAATATTTTTAATCGAATCATAACAATACAAAAAATCGAAAATAATGAAACTATAATTATTGTCGTAAACATTCTTAGTTTTCTTACGTTTTCTTTTAATTAATATGTGTAAACACCTTGGAAAATCAGAAATGACTTTTTAATGCACCAACTATAGAGCTTAAATGATACAATAAGCTTTATGGTATATATAATTGATAGTATAGAGTTAAGAATTTGTATACAGACAGAAAAGAAGAAAAACAAACAAAACTGCATATATTATAATGAAACCAATACATTCCACGCTCCGTTAAAAATTTGAAATGTAAATTATAAATACAATAATTAAAAATATTTGTATAGATAAACAAATGACAAAAAGTACAAAAAGTCTGAATTATAGAATACTAGTATAATATTATAATAGTATAAAAAGAAATTTCTTAAAAATTTATTTTAAATTACCTACAAAATTGTATACTAAATATTTTTATCAACTCATAAAATTACTTAAATAACTACTCTGAAAATGATGAAATGTAAGTTTCAATTTTCCCAGTATTTATTCAGTGTATTTTTTCAGTATTTAAATTGTGTTATATTATACCTCAATCGTGTGCTTTGAATTCATTTTTGTTCTATAGAGAAGTTTAGCCATACTATACACGATGAAATGTTATCATATTTTTTAATCGAAAATTGAACAACGGTCGTGATGGCATATACTTGCATGATTAATAACACTTAGCTCTCACTCTTAACCAAAAATGTCCACATCGCGTATAGGTCGTGGAACAAAATGAGATTCCGAAGGTCATTAGGACGCAACATCACCACTGATAACATCAGACCATCAGAACCAATCGACTAATTTTTACTGCGTCATGTTATCTATAATATAGAATGTGTAAAATCAAAAAAAAATGAAGCTGATACTGCTGATGGATGTACCACTGTTTTAGGAAGAAAGTTGGAGGGAGGGTACATAGAATAATTTAATTTGTATCTGTACCTAACGATAAACCATTGCTAACGATAAATACGGATCCCGACCAGAATATTATTATTAGTTAGTCGTAATTTGTTCCTTGTTGCAAGGTAACCCACAAATAAATAATACAAATACAGAACATTTTTTTTTCCATTCTTGTGAAATTAAAAAAAAATTAAAAAAGTGACCTCAATACTCCAACTAGATCAAAATTGTTACAAGAAAATTCCTATACAATTTTCGATTAGCCTGTTATTTATAGACACACAAAAAATAAATAAATAATACATACATAGTAGTAAAACCAATAAATTCCTCGTTCAGAATCTAAAATATCCGAATGCATACATAGGTATTCGGGCTCTAACATTAATTCGAGTTGCGCATGTTATGATCTGAGTCCTGGATGGTGCGCACAGTATTAATCAGTGATTTACCCTTTTATCGTAATATATTATATTAATTTATTAATATTATGCAAATGTATATTATACCGTTCACGAATAAAACAACGCAGAAATTCACTTTCTATTGCAATTTTTCGATACCTACATAATAAATAATATAATAATAATAATAATATATTAATCTATGACGATACTGTTGTGTCCGAAGATTTAACACGCGTACACGATTGGGACACAAAAAATCATTGTAAAGACGCGATTTATAATAATATTCGCTATAATATTTGCACTTTTTTTTTCCAATTTAAACAGCAGGGCATCCGTTTTCACAACGTTTCCCCGCTACTTAAAAATTAAAGTCTGCTGTGTTTACACGAAATTTAAGACGGCTATCGATCATATATTTCAATTCGCTGACAAATAATAATTATGGGGGCACGTTCGTATTTGCCGTTCAGGCGCTTCAGCGCTCAGGTTCACGTTCGCTTTGGATTTACGCGATTACAATCGCTTTACGTGTATTATGCATACGAACATGGACAGTGTCGGTCTGGTGTTTGTAAAAAGCTCAGGCTGTCTTCTGAGGCCTCGATTTTATTTTCTTTATATCCCGCGAACAATATTGTGAACAAGGATATTTTATTATAGACATTTCAGCATTAAGTTCTCGTCTTGGAGCAAAATCGTGTTTATTTTCCATTACATTTTTGAAACATAGGATTACCATTTTCATTTTTTAACTAAAAATAAAAAACTAATATAACTTTGTAATAATCAATCACTTAAAGAAAATGTGTTATTAAATAATAAAAATAACAAAATAACCATGGGTACCTAAAATATAATAAAGAATAATGAAAACAATAAACACAAGCTGATAGATACATTATTTATTTTTAACGTAGGCAGCGCTAAATAAGTAACATTCATATTTGAATTCAACATTTTAGATGATTTAGCTGTAGTATCAATATCACCGCCGGCCGACTCACCGCCAGGATCTGACTGGATACTGAAAACCTCACCGGCGTCACCAACGATCGACACAATATGAATAAGTACCAGGCCGAATACGTAATTTTTTTCCAAGATAGATGAAAAATACCAAGACCAGAAAAATCGGTGCGACAGTGGGAGAAGTCGGTATCGTATAATATTCTATAGTCACCAAAAGCGGTTTTCAGCGACATTTCAATTTTCAGAATTTTGTGCAAAATTAGTCGCTCACACAATTATTAATAATAAGTGCTTACACATTTTATTACTTTATTGCAGTCTAAAATAGCTAAATAAAGTATAAACAATACTACCTATATATCTATGTATATTTAATACGTGCTCAAAAGACGGTGGTCAATAGTTAAATAATGATATTTAACAAATCCTGAGGCCTTGAGGGGCATCCGAACACAAACACAACTTATTGAAAAACGAATAGTAATAAAAATAGCGTAAAATGTTCTAGTAAGAGATCGAACAAAAATATTATACCGACCTAATGATTCCGCTTTAAATCTAACTTCTAAACTAATGTTATAAAGAGAAAAGATTTGTTTGATATGTTTGTGTGTAATGGATAAGCTCAAAAACTGCCCAACCGATTTTAAAACTCCTTTCACCTTGGCATATGGATAGCTACTATGATTTAGGCAACCGCTAAGAAAGGATTATTGAAAATTCAACTGTCAACCGAGGGTAAAATAGGGGTTATTAGGTAGTTTTGGTACGAATATCTAATTCTTTATTTATTTTTGTTTATTCAAGGATTACCTTGGTGATACGGACGATGATTTGGTTGTCATGGATAAGAAAATTATTATCATTATTAATATTAATATTACTATTATGTACACTGTTATCTAGCAACAGCAAAGCATTATGGGGGCTGTAGCTAGTAAATTATTATGTTAATACGATAGTGTGTGAAAAATCATATTTTATTAATTTCGGAATCATTCTAGTTCTACAATTTGTGTATTATTATCACGGTTTTATTAACACTAATAACATGACAACGACGAATAATCTTATAATTTATAGATGTAAACAACGACAAATAGTTTAGAATAATCAGTTAAATAATTTTACAGAATCTATACAGTTAACATTATTATAAAATCTGTTCATGTTTTATATATTATATTGTATTATTTTTGTTTAACTTTATTTTATCTATAATCGACTTTCGTCGGTATTCCTTTATATTTATACGGCATCTTGACGAACGCACGACGGTCGACGTCCACAAAGAGTCCGTCGGTGAAATTGCGTCGATTCACGTATGCCAAGACAAGAACACCGACCCCGTTCGCTCGGCCGCGGTTATAATATTAACTTCGAGGAGTCAGCTGACGGTGAGTTTTTTTTTTATTTTTGTCCGATTCGACGTACTTGACCCACGCGAGGTATACGCTCTTACAAGCAAATCCGACGGATGTCCGATAGTTCAATTTTTGTGTTTAGTCTATATTATACAGGCGCGGACTACAGAAACTGAAATGTTCGAACAGAGTCCAGATAATTTTTGATTAGGTCTGCGTATTCCCATATAGGTATAAATATGTGTGCCCGTTTTGCCTACTTTTTATGACATTGCTGATGATGCTGCGATGACGTATAGTTCTAAATGTACTTATCTAGGTTTAAGAAATAGAAGCGCTGTGCACTACTTACATTGGAGAATCTTTTAAATTTAAAAAAACAAATTGGTAAAAATTAAAAACAAGCCGAAATTAAGAAAAAGTGTCTTCAAACGTTAATATTGTTTTATAATACCATTATGATTGATTGTCGGTGTGCCGGTTTTGTCTGCTTTTATTTCTGACAACTCGAGCGCCGTGACACATATTTTTGCATGTATTTATACATTGTCGGACAAAAATATCGCTCTATTACTGTTTTATCTATATCTAAATGCTACGCAAACGAATTGTACAAAGTTCTCCGGGGACTGCTAATAAATTTACTTTTTCTTTGTTAGGTCCGTGTTTACATACTAATATTTTGCAGCCTTTGTTTAAAAATAGGGTTTGCTTTACTATTTAAAATGTAATTTGAAATTTTCGGATATTTTAGTTTTCATATTTTTTTTTTTACCGAGTCACTACTTTGTTTGGCTTGCATATTGATTGCGTGCAGGGGAACATGGGGCGAATTGTTACAATTTTGAATTTATATAATTTTTTTCTTTTATTAATTTGATAATTGATTTTAGACAATTTTAAAAATAACGTCTTAAGTTTTTCGAAATACAAAAGTAAAAACAATTTAATTTTTAAAAATGAAAATAAAACATTTTAAACACTGTCAAAATATAACAACATGATCCTAGGTTGGGTAAATGTTACAGTTCAGGTATAGGTATAAATGATGATACATTATACATTTTGAACTATAGTTATTAAAAATATAAAAATTAATTGTACCAGTATCTACTACCTAAAACATATTTAATAATAATAAATTTCATGTCAAAATAAAAAATAAATTAAATAATGAACATAAGGTTCATTATACCAAGGTTCGTTGCAGAGGCGGAGAGGTTCGAACATTTTTATCGGGCGAATATAACATAATATATATCCAGGCCACTTTAATTTTTACCAATTCTTGAAACCATGTTGATAATTGTATGCCTAGTTACAATTATAGTTTAGAAAAGTATGTAAAAAAGTACATTTTCTATAATACTTGCCATTATCGAGTATCTATATTTAAAATTTCTTAGGAAAGGATTTGGTGGATTCACCATACATTTTTTTAAGGGTAAATATTTCAGTCACAGTGCTCAGATATAGATATAGTCAAATAGATCGCTTAATTTTGTAAATCGTATGTACAGACTATACTCGCATATTTTTTTAAACATGTTAATATAGACGATCGTAAACGTGGATATTTACACTATTTTTACAGAGTATAGGTTTATATACGCTAATTCACCAAATGGTCAATGACGGATATACGGCGTGGAATACTCTGCAAAACATCACTGGATAAATTGTAATTCCGTACGGCAATTTAAAATTCAAAATACAATGATACAATCAGAACATATAATATTATATAATGCCAAGTACAAAGCATAATTTTTTTTCTCTTCGGTTATAAAAATTGTATAGAACAAATTGAATTGCCCTTAATACAATACGAATCGAATGCAATTTTGTTAGAGTAAACTATTTCAATACCTGCAGTGACAAACGAGAATAAAAATTCGACAAATTGAATAAACAACGAAATTAAAATGTTTTAATTAAAATAACACGAAACGCTTAACGAGAAAAACATTTTTATTTTTTTTAAACACTCGAGTATTTCTATATTATTATAGCTCATATTGTGTAAAAATACACAAGTTTGATTAATTTTACAGTAAATTGTTATAAGGGAGTTAGAAATAAAAAGATAATTTAAAATATCGTGGCGAGTATTCATCATTTCACCAAGGAGAGAAGAATGTTAATTAGTATTAAAAAGAAAATACACAATAATAAACGTGATCAACTATTTTGTTACTGTAGTTTTGGCTTATAAAACACTAAGTAAGTACATAAACGTTTACATTCTTTTGTATTGTGAAACGATCAATTCCGTAGCGAATAAAAGTCGACTGTTATTTCTATTTGCAAGCCGAAAACCTTGAAAGATTAGCAAAACCAGAAGGTACGTCATGAATATAAAATTAAAACTAAAACTAAAAAAAAACTAGACAATTTTTATTCGTAACGGGGAACTTGAAAGGACGCGAAAATGCCGATAATTGATCGAATTACGACGTTACTGAACATAATGACGTATGACTCGAAATTTATACTATTTGGATTCCTTAAAAAAAAAACAATAATATGCACGTCATAAACTCGTAACGATAAACATAATACAATAATAAAGTCGTTATAAAAACAGCAATGATAGTATGAAAAAAAAAAGAAGCAAACAGAGGAGAAAAAACGAATATTATTGTGAAGAAAAACAAGTTTGATAAAATACGGTACTTATGTTTCACAAAATCGGAAATCGTGCACGTACGATTTCGCGCTCCGGGATAAACATTTATACGTTTAAAACTCAGATACTTTCTCTTGTATATACACACTCCGTTAATTAAAATACCTATATACCGCTAAAATCGAAACATAAGATCGGATATAATATATTTTATTGTTTTTACGCCGTTACACATTGTATTATATACGAACGGATATCGGATAAATACCATACTTTTCCGTCGTGTTTAAACCGGACAGAAAAAAAACTGTTTGTATAGAATTTTTTTTAATTTTTCAATTTAGCTCTTGTCGATTGCGAACAACGATAGACGAGATATTACTGTAGTTTATTCCGGTCGGCAATAGATTTTCGAATTCCGTTTTGGATAATATATCCGTCCGACATCATCTGTACACTAACGTTTTCGTCCGTGTCGAAATACGTTCGAACCCGCCGGAAACGGACGCGTCCGCGTAGGGGCAAACGTCGCGGCGCGTCCTCCGGTTCGGAAATCCCGAGCCGGCAGGAGCGTCGAAGATTTACGTACGTCTGGTCTAGAAAAAAAAAAAGAAGGCGAATAAATAAAAACCGTTTGCTTTTCAAAACGGCCGCTGGCGCGTGTCGCACAGCGGATAATGAGACGTCGCCACTCGCGAGTCGAACATCGCAGAGATTTCGAATCAAAACGCGTTTTCCATCCGAGTCTGCGGGTGCTGCCACTGCCGCGCGTGTCCGTGTCCTTCGCTCACTCGCCGGCTCGCGTACCTATAATGCGGCTCTGCGTAGAAAACAATAGTGAAAGGGGTGAAGCAATTATTATTCGGTCGCTTAAATCGGAACGTTATATTATTACGACCTTGCCGGGCTGGTAACGCGTATAATAGTACCTACAGTATTACGAACGTGTAATGTGTACCTATATAGCTGGCACTCGAATATTAATATTCGTGTGTCGATATCATAATAGTAATGATAATAATAATATTATATTATTATATAAACACACACGATAACGATACACTTACACGACACGCTCAAAACCTAGCCGAAAAGGTGTGAACCGCGTATTAAAATAATAATACGTACGCGTGCGTCTACGCGCAGATATAATACAACAGGTATGTATTATAGGCGTCTGCGCTGTTAATTGGAAGTTTGGTAACCGTCACGATCTAGCCGGTCCGGATTATAAGTGTCTATAGGTATAGGTAATAAGGTACCTATGCGTAGCGTTTTCGTGTTTTGTTTTTCGGTTAAATCGTTTTTTTTCCCCTTCAGTATTTCGATCGTTTTACAACATTTCTGTGTACGCGTGCGTTTTTTTTTTTAGGTTTGTGACCTCCGAAACGTTTACGCAGTACATATAGGTTACGTTAAGAGGACACGATACCCGCATTTTTACTGTCTCGGACCGACTAACGGGCGGCGTAGCGAAATTACGCGAATTAGAATTAAAATTACCGGGTTTAGGTTGAAATTAGAGTTTAAATGTACAGATGACAAAATTTAAAGAAGACAATATTTTCGAGGGCGTCACGGCGACGCGTTCCCTTTTTTTCAGAATAATATTACCAAACAAAAAAGCTTCAGCTATTTGATAGTAACAAAACCCAACACGGCTATTTATTTAAAAAAAAAAAAAAAAAATGCAGTACCCCAAGATTATATTTCACGTTCAATTTTGCCACCATTGTTTTGGCTAATGATCTGGCCGAGAAGGGCTGCTGTCTACTCTGCTCTCCCTGTGTAATTACAACTATGTTTTAACGTCACAATTTTCATTCCGATTTGCGTACTTTTTCTATTTGTCCCGTACACACTAAGACTATAAAATATGCGGTTATCACGTTCTCTTAAAAGTGAAACTTTTTATTTTTAACTCTTTTTTTAAAACTGAATTTCTCTAGATTCCTAGAACAAGATTTTCTGTACGCAATTTTTTAAAAAAAAACATCGGTCTTTGAACGGAATCTACACAGTGTACGAAGATGTGGAATTCGTAGCAAACATATAACATCAGACGGAATCCAGATTTCATAATTGAAATTCTTTAGACTCACTGGAGCTCGTAACACCTTTTTCGTTTTTCGCGTACCATCGTAATGATTTATCGTTATTATATTATAAGCTTCCCTGCAACTAGTGCAAATTTCCACCCCCGATGCAAAACAACGTCCGGCTGGTTTGTTTTGTCATATAAATAATAAAATATATAATTTTCTAATAATTATTACATTCGATAACATAATAGAAAAATAAAAGTTGTTTCCATTTAGGACGTATAAAATATTAAAATTAATAAAACATACAAAATTTCGGCGCGTACAGAGGTGTAGGTGACCAACGGCGGCCGTACAATTTTGTATATCGTTCGTATATAAATATAAAATATACAATTTATAATTTATGTAATACAATAATATTTTTGTTACACTGGACTGTTGGTGTTTTGTTTTTGTTTTTTTTTTTATTTTTTTTTTTTTTGATTGATTTTCGCAGTATTTTGCTGGAGACTAGAGAAGTGACGGAAGGTGTACAGGCGGTCATATGACGAACGGATGGTGTACGGTGATGGGCGGTAATGCTTTTCCGTCGTCCTTCACCGCGTTCATCGTGATCGTCAGCGGTTCCTGTAGATTGACGGGACACAGAACCGCAGTGGAACGTCCCGGACATTGGATCCTCTGCACGGATTTCCCATTCAAAAGCAGCTGACAGAGTATACGTATATGGAAAAACAGAAAGAAAGAAAAATATCAATCCAATGCCACCGATGTTTACACAAGGTATTTTCGAGTTTTTAACACGCGACAAGAGCAAACAAAAAGAAAAAAGAGCTGATAATGGAGATGGGAGCGACCACTATTGTAGATGAGAAGTTGGGAAGGTAGGATACATAAGGACATTTCATTTATATCTGTAAGCAACGATAAACCATTGCTTGACGAAAGACGATTCTGAGCGCAGTTCGGTAATACGTAATTTGAAGTGCCGTAATTTTTTTTGCGATTTTCGTTTAAATTTGAATTCAAAATGCTTATTAAAAAAAAAGAGTCGTCCGATGATTTTGAAAATTTTACCACGTCTAAGTAAGTTCAATATAACTATTACTATCAAGTTTCAAGTCTCTACGTGTATTTATAACCGAATAACAGCAAAAATACTCCAAACAATTTTAATTCCTGAAAAGCACAAAAGTTTTGGCAATGATACTGTAAGAAAGTAAATTAAAAAGGCAACAAAAAAAGTGTCTTGTGTTTTTCAATTAAATCATTTTTTCTGGTAAAAAATGTCGTCCGTGTTTTTATAAAATAATAAAATGGTGAAATTGTATGTTTTTCCATATTTTTTCTCACTTAAGTGCTTTTATTTAAAAAATGGCATTGAAAATCAAAATGACCTCTTAAAAGTACCATCTAGACAACTTGAGCTTTCAGAAAATTTACTACACGTAAAAATCGGAAGAAGTTAAGAAAATAGAAGAAAGAAAAAATAATAATAAGGAGCGAATCTAAAAAAATAATAATAAGCGATAACACGCAAAAATTGCAAACTTATCAGTGGAGAATGCAGTCATTTGATATTTCTTCCAATCTTTAATAAATTATGTATCGTATGTGCACTAGGTTTATTTTTGGAAATTTTCAAATTACCGAAATACCAATATCAGATATTCAGATAATACGCAATGATTACAGGGAATTTTTGATTTGCTTTTTTCTCGATATTTTCGATTTTCTATACATTTTTATTTTTCTTATGTTTTGGTTTTTTTTTCTTGTTAACTCGTTTGGCGGTATTTTGAACAATTTATATTACTACATTTTAATGATTATTTTTTTTATTCGAATTTTAAACGCATGATTTTCGGTGGATTTTAAGTGCTACTTTTCAACGTTTTTTTGTTGGCTTATTCTCAGCATTAGTTTTATTCTTTTTTTTCAAGTGAACCACACATCTTAAATAAAATCGCTGGATATTATACTTTTGCTAGATTTATTGATTTATTCGAGGTTTTAACTGGGCTATATAGTTTTTTTTTTTTTTATTTGCTGTGTATATTTATTATGATATTACTGTGTACAATCATGTTTTCTATTGATCGGATATATACTTACTGTTTTATTATTATTATTATTATTATTGCACGCTGGGCACTGCAAACGGTAAATAACCGACACAGCAGATAACAGATACAACGATATAACGGGCGAATTTTTAAAAGAAAAAAGAACAAAATCTACCGACCGTCGGATATTTTAGAGGGAGGGAAAAAACCGACCACCGATCGATTGTCGTCGAGATTAAAATCGAGTGTTAAATCGTTTATGCGTACCTCGAACGAGCCGATGGTGTTGGGTTCCGGCGATTTCCACGCTAGAATTATGCCGTCCGGTCCGATTTGCCTTACGACGTGCAGACCAATGGGGTTCTCCGGTCCGATCAGGCACAAGTATTTCCGGTCGTCGCTCTAAAACGACGATAATAATGTATACGTGTATATATATATGAAATCGATTTCGTATTTTTTTTTTTTATTCTTATTTTCCCAGTGTCGACAGACGATGACACGCTTTGCTCTCGCGGAGATCATCGCGTTCGTATTTATGCAGGTACGGATAACGGGCGTTGAACGAGTTATATATTATTTTAGCGGCGACGATCATCGACGGGGCTGCGGAATATAAACGGACGGACGACGAGAGACCGGTTGTGTAAATAAAATACGCGTATAAGTATATAGGAAAGAAAACAAAAAAAAAAAAAGACGTAAACTCGTCTGACGGTTCAATTTTCGAGATGAGCGTAACGTTTTCGACAACAACCATAATATTACATGGACGTGCTGGACGTGAGAAATATTATTATATAATATACAAAGTCTCCGGTTATGCGGATCGGAAAAAAAAAAAACACTATCCCATATATTACACATTTTACTATTGATAAATACTGTTATTGACACCGAATACACATAGGTACATTGTTATTAGTTTGTGGACCTGTGAAATTTGTTTGACGCTTACGAAAAATTATCGCGATCATCTAACGTTTGAAAAACTAAACGCTACTAAGAAATTTTCCGTAACCATGAATTCTCAGAAATCCAGGGCGTGGTATATTCGGTTTATTTTTAGTATTTTTTTTTATTCCCTGATTTCAAGTTCTTATCGTTTTTAAGACCATTTTAGAATTTCAGTTCCAATATTTTCATTTCCCGCGTATTTTCCCAGTTACCTATATAATAGCCAGTATATGCCTATACCATTTTTGTGATGTACTGTATTAATATATTACGTTCAAATTGGAATTTATTTTCCGTAATAAAAATATTATCATTATTTTTGACTTTTCAGTTGTTTAATATTCCTGCAGGTACGGTTCCCCCTTCCCTCTTTTACATTATACGAATATTACGGCCGTCCATACGCAATATCGCGGATAAAAACAATATTGTTATAGGTACGCTGCAATGTTTCACCTTTTCGTCTGGAGTGCACTCGACACCGCCGCCGTTCAAATATTTCTCCACGGTAGTGCAATTAAAGTCCGGAGCGTATCGAGTGGACCGTACGGAATTGAGACCTCTCATGAACTCTAGTCGTCTACTCCACTTGTCATGCTCGGACAAATGCAGCAGTTCGTCGGCCAGCGCCATAATTATCTTGTTTTTTTCGATGTTTTTCGCCTCCAGCATGGCCGACTGTTTGGACAGGTGACAAACCGTTTGTTTGATCTTCGGGGGACATTTGTATTGCACCGTCTAAACCAAAATCCATTAGTCCACGTACATTTGATATATGTATAATAATACACTATAATACATGAATACATCTATGTATCCAAAATATAATATTATGTACTTACGGGTTTCACGGGTTTTGTGGAATCTGATGAAATAAATAGAAACATAAAAAAAAAAAAAAAATTAGTTAGGTTGGTATAATTTATTAGAAACAGTTATTATTGTTATTACCATTTGGCGTATTAGTCAAAACCCCCGAAACGTTATTGCGATGATCGCCGTTCGGATCCAACGTAGTGATCAAATTGTTAACGTTTTCCATCACTTTGTGCAAAAGCGGTTCAAACTTTTTAAAACAGGCGTCGCACGTCTGAAACACGACACAGTTAAAAATGATCGTTCTATTTTTGTATAAAAATGTATCGCGCTAAAATGACGGTAGTTGTAACTTGTAAACAGTCAACCGTGTGTTTAATACATATATTTACCTTTAGTTGTTCGAGGTTCGGCAGTTGAATCGTCGTGATATCGTGTTGGTCGTGGTCATCGAATTGCTCCAAGTTCAATTTTCCAACATTATAAGTCTGCGATAATGATAATATATTTAGAACGATAGACAATATTAAAAAGTCGTTTTAAATTAATACTCAATCCAACATTGACTATATAAATAAAAAAATAAATGAATGCGTCGTCGTCGCCTGAAGTATTAAGAAATTTGTATTGTACGACCGGTTTCGAATTAAAAATTCATTGTCAGATAAAATCACAAAGTCAAAAAGTCGCGTTTTACTTTTTGACTTTGTGATTTTATCTGACAATGAATTTTTAATTCGAAACCGGTCGTACAATACAAATTTCATAATACTCCAGGCGACGACGCATTCATTTATTTATTTAAAAATTTATTTACAAGTATTAACCATTTAATAATTTTGTTTTTACTTTATTATTTTATTAAATATTAACTATAAAAAAAATAAAATCAAGAAATAAAGTTGACAATAAATATAACATATGTATATTATATATTTAGAAAAATAAAACAAAACAAGACCTGGAGTATTTTTCGCCTTTTTTATTCGATCGCCTAATAATGATTTTTTTTTTTTAAATCGAAAACGGTCATATGTACATTGTACATACAACCTTTATAATACTGCTGACTTTCTTTTGCGCATATACAGTAAATACATATATTTTTTGTGTTCGTGTTTTTTTTTTTTTTTTTCTAATATTTGAAAAATAATAAATTCGAGAAACAATATCCGATACGCACCGTTACATTTTCGCATTGAAATTCCTCAGCGGCATTTTTCGATCCGTTATACGACATGTGCCTCTCCATGTTATCGATTATTTCTTGTTTCCGAGCGAGTTCTTGGTTTAGTTCGACAGTTATGTTTTCCTTGATTTCTTTTTCTTCGGTCAGTGCGTTTCGTAAAAGTTTGACGTGCGCCTGTGTACAAAACAACATTATATTATTTGAAAAGCATTTTTTTTTTTTTTTTTGAACGTGATTTATCTGTTAAAAATTTAACGACGTATCGTACTAATAATACACTTAGGCCTGTTCTTACAATGTAATGCTAACCGGTGGCGTTTAAATTTGCCGCGAACAGATAAACTTCTGTCGGTTAACCCACGGTTAGCGCCAACGAACATTTTATGGGACGTTGTAAGAACCAGGCACAGAAAATCTTACACCAAAACTAGATTTCGATAAACTTGTTTAATACCTAATCGCACAACACCATTATACAATATTTAAGCATTAAGTGTATTGCTTTTTTTTTGTTTACATTTTAATATATTATGCATAAATAGTTGCATATTATGCATATTACACAGTTGCTTTTTCTGTAGAACGAGATAAGTTTGAATTTCAAATAAGTTTTATAAACGCATTCGGAGGTTATGAAGTTTTAGACATGGTGAACCATAAACTCCATTCTATAATATTAAATATTTGTAATCCCTTTGAAACAATACTATTTGCCTTTACTGCAAATTATTTAAAACGAATATTTACATTATATGAAATATCCTATTATAATATGAAAACATGAAATTATTGTTTACTTCGAGAGTTTCCACTTCTTCTTTGAGTTCTCCATTTGTGACATCGTACTCGTCGATTTGTTTGGACAATTTCAATATGGTAGACTGGTAATTTTTTGCCTGTGAATGACATATTAAAATATTTTTTAATTATTGTTTACCAAAGTATACAGATAATAGTCAATGTAATGATTAGGATTAATTTACTTCGATGATTGATTTCTCTTCGAGTTCGGCGTACACAGACTGTTTGAAATTAATGTCTTTCTGTAAATCCTTGAATTTCATTCGTTCGCAATCCAGTTGGTTTTTCAGCATTGCGTTGTCCGATTTTATTTGACATACTTCGTTGACGAATTGATCCATATCGTTTCTGAGCTGGGTCTCTCGGCGGATCCACGATTGTTTTTCCACGTCTTTAGCTTTGAGCTTGTGCATAAGATCCCGCACCTCAGTTTCGAGACCGTGTATTCGATCCAAAAGTTCCGGTTCCCTGTCTCTAGAATCGGCCGACAATCGCATACGGCTCTCGCGATCTGTCAACAGTTTTTGTTTTTCTGCCAATTCTGCCTTCAGTTCGTCGATCTGACGCTTATACCCTTCCTCGACATTGGCTAAAATGTTATCGGCTTGCTGTAAAGTCTGCTGATAAACGTTTTCCTTGAACTCCAGGTCTTGTATCCGTTTTTCCATTTCCATACGTTCTTTGGTCATGATCCGTAGTTTTTCCAAATAATCCACGTCCACCTCGGTAGGCTGTTTATTGTATTCAATAGCTTTCGTCGGTTTGGATTTTCGATAATGTTTACACACGACGCGCCATATATTCCACAGTACTATAGCTGGCCACGCGTTTTCCAATATCTGCAGTTTACATTTGGTTTCCATTTCAGATTCTTCGAGTTCGAAATTTCTCTGCTCGTATTTGTTAACCAACGCTTCCATCGACGCGGCGTGTTTACGGGCTTCGCATTTTTTCGTTTCTACTTCAGACAATTCTTGACGGAGTGCATCGATTTCTCGAGCCTTTGTCGCTAATTCAGCCTGTAGAGTACTTTTTTTCTCGGCTAACGTTACGTATTTGTTTTCCAACCTAAATGTAAAAGAAAAAATTAAAAATTAAACTGTTAAAAACTAAAAACATATTTTAACCACTTTAACACTATTGTAACATACTTTTGGCATCTAAGTCGTGTATCGTTTTCTGCCTCTTCAAATTCGCATTTTTCTTCTTCGATTATCCGATTCTGTTCTTTTAGTTTGTCTATAGTGGTATATAGATTTTTTATTTCGCTGGACAGTCTTGATTCTCTATCGATGGAAGCCGTCAAAAGTTTCACCCGATCGTCTCCATCGCATTCATACGCTTCGATTTTCCGTTCTAATGTTCGCCAGTGTTCTTTATAAAACGATAGTTCTTTAGCTACTCGGTCGTCGACTAATGGCACTTTTCGTTCTTCGATTTTTTCGCGAATTCTCGATAATTTCCTGAGTTCTTCTGTTAAATCGGTAGACAGAATGTCTATGGTTTTTTCGATAGGACTTTCCGTTTGTGTGGCTTCCGATATTGATTCCGAATAGATATCTTCTTCGAAAATACCGCTCTCTTGGAGGCAGTCCGTGTAAGCGTGTTTGTGGCGTTCGTTTTGATTTATGTCCGTTACACGGCACTCGAAATGCCTTATAAGGGCCAGCACTTGATTAATTGTCGATCGATCTTCGACACAATAACACACACTGTTGTACATTTCCATCAGTCGTTGTTTGATGTTATCGCACCGCCTTACGTCCTAAAACACAATTATTCAAATGTATTATAAGACACGCGTTACATAATAAAGATGCGGACGACGGCGATACATATTTAATATATCTTATTTACGAACGGTGCAGCGGAATTTCGGTTCACACACGTGTTGTAATAGTATTATTGGAACGATAAATTAAAATTTAAAAAATATATATTACGGTGTAATAAAAACGATAATATTGCAACCTTAACATTTCACGGTGCCGGTTATAGTACAATATCGTAGAGAACGGAACGATGGTCGGAATGTCAGCTATGCTATGTCAGCCTATGCGCTTGCGACGTGCATCCCGATCGCGATCGCATCCCCCGAGATACAATATAATAATCGAAAAGGAAAAAAAAACAAAACAAAACACCTGCAATACAATAACCTCGCAGTCCGCGGTATCGTATTACATGCGGATGCTGCGAAACGTAATATTTTTATTGCTTTTATTGCTATACATCGGCGATCTATTACACCGAATTGAAAAACCATTAAAAAAAAAAAAAAAAATGTGTATACACGCGGACACATAACTCAATCGGGTATATAGTCGATAATATCACAATATATGTAACCATTAAATCGACATATTTAATTTTTGAAATATACGACTATGACCTAGGTATAATAGTAGGTATAGATGTATAATACGCCCGGTATAAATTTTAAATCGGATCACGATTCTTCTATAATAGGTATAACAGAGACCTGCAGCATGAACGCGTCTATCACTGTGGCGCGCAAGGTTGTCACACACATACAATATTCATATTATTGTTACGGGCTTTAGGCGTTGCCGCCGTTCGACGGGGCCCGGTCTTTTTAGTAGTATTTTACTATGTTGTGTTTATAATAATTATATTGTGATATTTTTCGGTATATAAATATTACGTATCTAGGAGCGGTAAATATGCACGCGAGAGGGTTCGTTTGCGGGTTTACGGCACGCCCGCGTACGTAGACCCGGGTTTCGATGACATAAAACCGATATAACCGCCGGAATATTAATAATATTATAATATATTATTATAAATCGGTAGCCGAATAAACGACGCGGGGAATACCTAACGATCGAGCGTGAGAGTGATTTTCGAATATCCATCGGAATATTAAAAAAAAACAAAGCGCGCGGCTCGCGTTGAATACAAATTTCACCCCGTGAAATTTTGTCGAATGTTCGGCGATACCATAAGTATTGGTTTATCGGGCGGCAGTTCGTGAATACATACATTTTTTATAATATTATTTTAAATTCCTAATCGTACGTATGACGTGTGTGTGTGTGTTGCATTTATTTTTTTACATTTGTAATTTCGTTTCGTCCGCAATAATTCCGTCGAGCCGTACGTTTTTTTTTCCGCCAATAAATCGCTAAACGACGACTTCGTTGAAAATCGATGTGAGCGGATATTCACCTCTAATCGTCTACACCAAAAAAGTATCAGTAATTTTACCGATACGTTTACGTTATTATAGACGGGTACCTATACCATCGGTTTATCGCTCCAGGAAATATTATTATTCGAATAGTCGTGTACCTTATACATAGGTACTCCGTTATAGAATCCGGGTTGCCTTTTAAACATTATAACGTATATAACAATATTCCTTGTTCTCGTGTCTCGTATTATAGTATAACAATACAAAGATTAAATTAAGATCGTATCGTCGGGTACAAGGACGGAAGAGAAAAAAAAAATTTAACTGAAAAATATTAATTTTACGATTATAATAACATATAATATAGACAAAAGAAAACCACCCATTTCAAATAAATTGCTCTGGTATTATTATAATATATGTTATGTGCGACGACCTTGCTGCTTTCAAAGACTAATTATTATGTGACATTCATATTACAGGCATATGAGTATACGTCATTGTTGCACGGCTCTTAATACATACTGCAGCAATTCGCGTTAAAATATCTTACCAGTTCGTTTTCGTGTTGATCGCCGTCGCTGCAGAAATCATCGCTGGTAGCCAGTGACATAACGCCGGAGTCACTCATGTCTTCGGTGGTTTCACGGTTTTGACTCTTCAACTGCAGGCGCAGAGCAAAAAAAAAAAAAAAAACAATAACAATGGCGGTTAAATAAGAACCAGAAAATATACGAAAACGTGTGGCAATCATATTATCACACATTATAATAATTATTTTTATAATACGATAGCGTTTCAAAAAGACATATTATCCAGAGCGTGATAAAAACGAAAATTTCAAGTAATGTATTATTTCAAAAGTATATGCATTTTTTTTTCTTTCGAAATTTGTCTTATAAGATATTATAATATGTACGTGTATATTGAATAGAAATTATTGTTTGTTATTAACGATCATTGCAGGTATGATATACAGAATAAAAATATGTTATAATATTTACTTTGGTCGTTGTTTCGATATCTTCCAATTCCAAAAGCCGGAACTCGAGTAATTCGTTGTGTTCCGTGGTCTCTTTAAGTTGCGTTTCCAATTTATTTACTTCGGTCAAAAGGTCGGAATTGATTTTCGACAATCGTTGGATCTCTCGTTTGTCTTTACGCAATGACGAATCTTTAATTTGTTGTACTTGCACGCAATTGTACGCACGCAATAATTCGGAATGTTTTTCCGATAGTAACGAATACATAGTTTCCAAGTCTACAATCTGTTATTATAAACGGAAATCGAATTTAAAAAATATATATAAACGAAGTGAGGTTAACTTTTTTTTTTTTATGGAGAGAGTACTAACAGTATATAAGATGTGTTATATGATATGTGTATTATTTAATTTACTCTATTACTTACTAATTGTATTATATGTATTATATAATAATAGTACAGACATAAAATAATATTATAAATAAACAACGTTAACATAATTTGTTCACACGTGAGTATTATAGAAATTTGTTTACCTGCGGTAATTTATTTTCCTTGTCTGAAACCGTTGAATCTGTGGCATCGCATCCTACGCGGTTACTGACTTCGACCGAGTTTTTCCGCACGTCCAAAACATCTTGTACGTTTGATGATTTTGACGAATTTGTTAGTAATTTTTGAACCTATAAATCAAACACGTTTTTTTTTTTTTAAATAAGATTTTCGATTTTCGATCATTAGCATAATATGCGTCATTCAAAATGATATTATAGAATATATACTATTATAGAATATATACATATACTATAATACCATAATAATATTTAGTCATTTTTTTATGTAAATCTAAAGCAAAGTGAGTGCCTATAGGAGTAGGTGTTTACGATATCTGGTTTCTAATAATAATTAGAGGTTAAACGAAATATTGTAAATTACCTTAGCGTTAGTGCAGATGATTCGGTCAGTGGGTTTCGGTGAGCCAGTTTCCACAGAGGCGTCATTCTAATTTTTAATAATAATAAAAAAAAAATATATACATAGTGATATATAATATAGTATACTGTAATTTTCTTAAATTAAAATTATTATTTTTTGTTCAATTTAATGTTTATATGTATATATATTGACGTCGATGAACTTTGCCAAATATTAATAATGAAGTGCCAAGTAATAAATAAAAAAAAACACATACTTCGCACCTATACAATGAAAGTTTATAGCTGACATAATTTTAAATTAAAAAAATCCTCTCTTTAAAATGTTGCCCTACCTACACAACTTCACACCTACAACTGTGGTACACTCATCAGCATGGCTCTTGTTTTATTGATAATTATAACTTTGATTGGCATTTATTTTATAATATACTATAACGAAAGACCAGTTAAAATATAGTCAAATTTATCAATCGATAATTTACTGTGATATTACGAAACCAAAAAACCGGATAAAACTAGTAGTGACGGTTATGATATGAAAACTGTTATTAAACGAGATTTCACCTATTTTATAATATATTACCCGTATCAATGTCAAATCGCTTTTACACTTATTTCTTTCTAATTTGCAACACCAAAATATTATATCCTATAATCATGAATTCATTAATTTAATCATAATACTATTATAATCATTACATCTACTAAATATCTTAAGTATTGCAGTATCTAAGTATTATGAAGTAAAACAATTAAGATTTTCTAAGTGCATCTATATTATTATAATCTATATACAAAACTAAAAAGTTACAAGTGTCTAAAATTCAAGACACTAGTGATGATGGTATTGGAAAGTATTCGTATATATGGTTTTATTTTAATTTTAAATAACTGTTATCAAGTATACGTAATTATATTATAATTCAAAGTGTAATGCAAATTACAGGTACAACGCAATTCAAAGGAATTAATTAGGTTTAATTCGAATATTATGATTTTTTTTAATAGAAATAAGTATGATAATATTATAACTGCCGTTAGTGAGTAAAAAATAATATAGATAACAACTTCACATTTATAATTTTTATTTAGTAAGAACCGCGGCCTTAAAATATAATAATATATGCAATCAAATGAATAACTGCGTTTATTCTTATATTATTAATTGCAATATTTATTTGAAAGTATTAAAAACCATCTGCAATATTTTTTTCGCCTAACTGAAAACATTATAGTATATTATCATCATTACTGAAGTAGGTATATTTATTATTTAAGTTTTATCTTGATAAATTGTATACTGCAAGGTAAAATATGTATCCCAGTATTATAGTTTTTCATTTAAAAAATCTATTTAACTTTGGAAAAACAAAATATACGAGTATATATGTATATATTCTTTATTCGGGAAAATAAATTAATCATATTGTTATAAGATGGCATATCGTCCATCTTTGTCGTGGTATTATGAATTTAATAAATATTATAAAATTAACAGAGTACGTAATAATTAATAACCCGAGCGTCACTTTTATCGACATAGGTATTATATATTATTTATTAAAATAAAACACGTTTTCCTAAAATCGAAAAATAAATAATAATCATACGGGAATCACTTCCGGAATTCCACCAATCTCGCTGTGTTATTTTTAATTGGTGTGTCTACGTAACTTCCTTAATGGCCAGATGGATACCGGTTGTATGCGTGTCGGAAACAAAAACGATCTATAAACACGTATTAAATTTCTAAATGGCAACGATTTTGTTGTATCTTAAACGAAATTAATTAAAATACATGATAGATATTGTTAAATTATAATTATTGTATAACTCTGTAGTAGTTGTTACTATACTGCGATATGATTTTTCACATCATATAATTCCTGGTTAATTATACCGACTTGTTATTTAACGCGTGTAAATAATTTATGCAATGCAAATTAAATCTAATAATTATCCGTCGTCACGAATTAATATCGCAATTAATTTTCTCCAAAAAAAATTCTAACAGAATAGCATGACGTATACGATTTGCTTTCTGTCCGATGTCGACCAGAAGACTTGATCAAAATATCCAATATCCAAAAAGAAAATATCAAGCGAGGTTTCCAGTAGCATTTTTATTTCGAATTTAAGTTAACCAAACGTTTTTGAAGAATAATACACAACTACCTACGGTATAATATAAAAAAAATCAGAAAATGTATACATGTAGGAGGTTTTTATTCAAAATTCCTAATATTTAACACTGATGAACTAGATGGCGGATTTATATTCTCTTAAAATTCTTAAAATATAATGTTTTTATGTTGTTTAAAATGAGCTATATATTCTCTAAATATTCGTTTAAAATACCAGATATATGATGTTTTATGTCCTTAAAAGAACAAAATATTCTTTTAATATTTTGAAAAAAAAATTAATTTAACTCGAGTTTTTAGTTTAAATTAAATTGTATTATTAATTTGGTTTATAACATTTTAAATTTATTTTACAATCATAACAGTTCGTGACAGCTAACGTTATTTTATTATTTCTGACGTGCTATCGCCATCGATAAGAAATATCTAGTGATTAATTTTTATTAGAAACCCAGAACACGCTAGTAAAATAAATTGTTTATTTCTTAATCAATATATCAAAATATCGATATACGTTCATACAAATAATAGGATCAAAAATAAAAATATTTATTAAATATTCTCAAAATCTCAAATATTTTCTAATGTATTGAATATTTTCTAAGTTCTAAAATATGCTTTAAGCAAAATACATTTTTTTCATTGAATTCTATGTTTCACGAATTGTGAAGATATCTTACTCTTATTTAACTGCATACACTCAAAATAAATATGTAAAATCATACAAATCCAACCACTACTGGTGACAAATTGAAATGACGACACACCATGGTTTAGGAAATAATTCGTGACAAGCTGAGATCTGATTAAAATTATATAGTGACTCCAAATATTTGAAAAATTTCAAATACCATTTTAATAATTGTTCAATTTGAATTAACCAACAGTTTTTTGAAAAAATATGATTCATAGATAAAGCGATTTCCGAAAATCAGAATAAAAAAGTTAAATAATAAATTGCAAAATTTATTATGTATGGGAAAAAAGTTATTTACTGCAGGAACGAAGCAGTTTTGCATATTTGCAAATTAATTGTAAAATCTGATGTAGTATAACTGTGGAAAATACCATCGGATATGATGAAATAAAAAATCGCATTATTATAATCATTTGACGTATAAGGAAGTGAAACAGAAAAAATAGACAAGTACAATGTTCTATTAGAAAGGTTTGGGCACTATTTTATGTATACGTATCGACTGTATATTGCGGGTATCCAACTATATATATCGAAAAGTACAGTACAACAAACGTGTCATTACGGTACGAGTATAATATACACCTATCCACGGTTAAAAAACAATATCATAAAAAAAAAATATATATATATATAATATAATGATATGATTACGAATATCGTTTCGGTCGAGCATCACGAATATTCATCTCTCCTCCGCATCGGACGAGTGTGTGACCGTATATAGAGTCGTGTTCAAATTAAAGGCCACGTATTAATAATTTTCCACATATTATTATTTTTGCGCCATTATTATTACGATCATTTCGTGTTGGCGGCACCGCACTGTACGACTGTACGCGGAGAAAGCATAATATTTTCGAAAGATACAGGCAGGTACTTACTCGTATTTATAATAATAATAGTAAAACATCCGTTACGCGTATTTAACATTTATACGATGCATATGCACGTGCACATAATAATAATATATTATCCACCGCGGCATAACCATAAACGTTCGTGAAAATCGATGGGTAAACGTGCGTGTAAGTAGTATTATAATAATATGACATTTAAACGCATAGGGGTACCGATGGTGCTTTTCAGAATTTTTTTTTTTTTTTTTTATGTTTATATTACAAAGGTTTTGAGCACAGCTGCCCGCGATGGCTTACGTTATTTTCGATTGGGTTAGGTTAGGTTGACTTTTCCACGCATAAAATCACAATGAACAACCTTTGAATAACATACGTCCGACTAGTACACCAACATTTTTCAACATATCGTGGTCGGCTTTTAATCAGATAACACGTTATAACCGCGGAGAGTGGAGTTCACAGAGAGTTATACAGACAACCGTTTACAGCATTTCGGAGATAATTATCAGGGAAGGGGGGATTTAAATAGTAGACTGCCAACACGTGTCGTTTAGAAGTCGAAAACTCGCTATATTATATTAATATACTAGTAGTGATGGAGGAAGAGAACCCAATAGAGAAAATACGAGTTTTAGGAAGGCCAACGAGGAGGAGGAAAGACGTAGTATAAAAAAGAATGTTGAAACTTTGACAGATAAACGCCGAAGATTTCGGTGATGGATAGAGATGAATAGATCTACTATAATAGAGCTGGAGGATTGGTTGTGAGACGGCCAGACAGGACACTCAAGAGCAAACATTATAAAAAAATACGGATTTCATTAATTAGACAGACCTTTATTGATTTTATTTCTAGTGGATATATTTATCAGTGATGAAATTATCACTCAAAAAATATTTTTTTTTCTTTTAATGACGATTATATTCGTTAAAAATTAAATATTTTATTAAAACTCCGTGATTTAATCATTCGTTAAATCAAAAATGTAAAATCCTATAAAATGTGTTAAAATTAAAATTGATGTTATTAAAAAAATAAAAGCCACTTATACTTTTTAACCACAGTTAACTATTGTGAATAAAGTAAATAAATATATAAATAAAAATGTATACATAAAAATAAAATAAATAAATGAATCAATGCGTCGCTTAAAATATTATGATAAGTGTATTATACGATCGGTTTCGAGTTAAAAATTCATCATCAGGTATATCACACAATCCAAATTTAAAACGCGACTCACATTTTTAATGTGATATACCTGATGAAGAATTTTTAACTCGAAACCGGTCGTATAATACACTTATAATAATACTCCAGGCGACGCATTGATTCTTTTATTTTTATACATATTTTTTTTATTTATATATTTATTTACTTTATTTATTTATGAGTATTAACCATTTTAATAATTTTGTTTTTACTTTATTATTTTATTAACAATTATGAATTTATGTGTCGTAGCGTTTTTTTTTTTTTATTCAAACTATTCATTTTGAAAATATCGATTCGAGTTGAATTCATTCGCCGTTTCAGCACTAATATATCGAGGGCTGGTTCACATGACTACAGTAATTAACTTTCAAAAATTATGTAATTATAAAAAAAAGTACCTAACGTATTATATGGTATCGAAAGTGAAAAAAAATTTGACTTACCTTAGCGCAGACCGGTCCGTTTTTCTTTTGTAAACACGACTGTTGGGAACCTTCGTTTAATTTTTTTATCTGGAAAAAAAATATAACAATAATGAAAACGGTATAATGGCGATAATGACGATAGTAATATAATAACGATAATAACGATAGTAATTGCTATGTAAAATCTGTAATCAGTTAGACTGCACGGTACCTATATCATTATTATGTATAGGTTTACCTATAACGTGATGTCATAATGCACAAAAGCTGCATTAATAATATTTTTTTATATTAATGACTACGTGACGTAGGTATATACGAACTCGCAAATAATAATAATAATAATAATAATAATGATAATAATATTACGTTCTAATCGCATCCTATACAGGTGTATAAAAATAAAAAATTGTTCTAATACAGTTCACTTTCGTTTTCTCTACCCGATCGCGCGATGTCTAACCCGCCCCCCCCCCGTGTGTGTACGTCTATTTTGCGCAGTGATTTACTTTGATGCGTATTATTTTTTTTTCCGCCGCGCCGTCATTAACGTGATTTTTTTTTTTACTTTTCGCACACGCGATTTTGCGGTGCCCGGATCGTGATCCCGCCAAAACGGTGTCTCGGATCTCCCGGTTCGTGACGTCGTGGGCGCTTCGAAATGGGTAGGTACCAACACCGTGCACATATAATATAATCGCAGTCATGCACACGTACAGCGGAGCGGCGCACACTCGTAATAATAACACGGAGGTACCGCGATAGTATATGCGTACACTTTCACCTACGACCGGATCACGTTTTCCATCTGCACGGGAGGTGCCCGGGCTCCTTCCTATACGTACGCGCGCCGTAATAATACCCGCGTACGATATTTTCGAGTGCACACGCTCGCGTATACGAATTCGACGCCCGGCACGCGGTCAATTCGGACCGACTAATTAATTTCGACACCTGTTTATACCGCGGTCGATCAACCCGCCGTCATCGCCACGGCCGGCGGTGCGGCCGGCGCGCTGTCAGCCATAATATTATTATAGGCTAATGTGCCGTTTAACGTTACGTCATATAATAATATTTATTTCTGATCCGACGCACATGCACATCGGGCGCCTGTACGATGATATCAACACTTCGATTGTTTTCACGTCGAACCGATAGCGGTGAATTTTTAATATTTGACCACGCGATAGACGAAATCGACGATGGCACGGCAAAAGGGTTCCGCCAAGCGACACTATGGGTCTGAGCGACACGGCTTCCCCGGCGGATGGAGAAACACGCGTTTCGTGCGTTGCGCGGGCGCAAAAACAGCTGTGACCATTTTATTCAACGAACAATTGGAATTTTTAGTTTTGGGGTGTAAACGATACTTTTTTTATTTTGTCTTCTCAGTTATAGGGTCTAAACGACAATAAAAGCTCATCGACAATGCGTATTCATATTAAGGACGTACAAACAAACAAAACGGTATTCAATGAAAAAATCCCCTATTCCAATCGAAAAAAAAATATTGCCAACCAAAAAAAAAAAATGTTTAAATCACAAATAAGTAAATATTTTTTGACTCTTTTAACATAACTTGAATGACACAATGTACAGTACACATATTGAATGATACTTATGGTTTTTGACGACTATCTAACTATCACTCGCGACCCCCAGGTTGAAAACTACATGCTATATATCATAGTTTTTTATTGCGAAAACACCACCGGGAGAATGTAATTCACGGATGCGCGTGCAAAAGGTCGTGCGGTCAATGTTTCGTGACTTTTCAGCAGAGCAAAAATACACTTTGACTGAAAACGCGAGGTCAGATGTTTTGAATATTTTGCCATAATTTAAGTACTGTACGATTCCATGTATTCTGTATTGTTTAACATATTTTTTATGGGTTAATGTTCAAAACTAGATTAGACACTCGATTCAGAAAAAAAAAACACATAATATGGGTTAAGTTGACTGAACTTTTCTTGCACCGTGCATTTATATAGTTTAAATCGCTGCGATGTAACTTAAAACGCACGGAAAAAACATGATTTACCCTAAAAGCACGATGTAATTATACGTTCAATATTGAAAAAATTGACTGAACATAATATATTTTTTGTTTTTGTTTTAGTGTAAACATTTCATTTATCACAATTTGGTAACTTATCCCCTTTTTCAACTGCAACCACGAATTATTATTATACTTTGTCGGTGCGTTAGATAAGGAAAACCAAGTTTGTCCACCGAGTTTTAGGATTTTTACCGACCAAAAATTATGCAAAGTAGATCCACATAAATATTTAATCAAAAACCAATATAATTCGAGACGCCCATCGTGATTTTTTAGGTATTTCACCGCCGGTTCAATCCGGGCCTAAATTATTGCTTGTAAATATTTTTATTTGCATTAATCGAAAAATGTTCGACAAAATCTTCATAACGCTTATAAAAAAAAATTCTGACTACCATACCATTACACTATAACGTAAGAACAACTTGCAAGAAATTGTTTGTATCAAATGTTTGAGTATTAATTTTATAATTTTACGAACTCAAAAAGATGTTATCCACATAAAACAAAAAAAAACTTAACAATTTAAAAAAGCTATAAATAACTCAAAAAAAATTGGAATGTTTCGAAAATTATATTCTCGTCTATAGAAAATGATAATAATATATATTATGTAAGTAATATTTGGTGAACATTTTTAGACTCTACGATTATTTTTCACCAAATTACAAAAAAACCGACAAAATATCAATTTATGAATAGAAATCGCATAGTTGTTTCGTGAATATTCCAATGTTTTAATGTTTTTCTTCAATTATTAAACTATTAAGAAAAATTCTCTCCTAATGCGCCAAATGGACACAATTTTATATTAAACATAACCTGTTAAATTGAATATTGGAGCAATTTCTGATCGACAATTTTGTTCACAGATAGGGGTAAATGACACATGTCGCAGTAAAACTAATACAACATTCTTCGCATCGCTCAGAAACCAAAATACCCGCATTCGTATATTTATTCTTTATTGAACGCGGAAAGTAGAACGCACAAACTAGAACGTTCCATTTATTATGGTATATTATAGATATAACTACAATATTATCATTTCTTCACACAGAATTCTTCGTATTGAAAAAAAAAAATACTAAACTATTGCCAACTATACGTAATATACGAGGATAAATCGATCAATTGGTGTAATATTTTTGTAAATATTATTATTTTGATCGTCCGTTCATACGTTCGGTTTTTAAGTTAAGGCGGATTGAAAGCGGTTATTTGGCGTAATAATACGCCCAACACCACACCGATTTAGTGGTATTCTGCTACATAATAATATTAAAACATAAAAAGTAGTGATTGTTCTAACTACAGTGATGATGAAATCAGTATTTCGAAAATAAATTTGAATTCGTTGTGACGTCTACCTACGTGCGAAATGGAATTCTCTACTTTTACCAATCATGTTTTTTGCCCGTGAATATTACATTTTTAAATGTCCAATTATATTCTTTTATTTCATTTTCGTTGGGATTTAGAGGGAAGCAACAGTGACGCAAATTCAACAACCTCAAAAAATAACTTCATAACGAATTAAAAACGATTTTGAAAGAAAAAATTACACGATCGGTTAGTCGCGCGTCAACAAAATTAGATTACACTGTAATATCGACGAAAGAAATCAGCGAAACGTCGTTTTTAATTTTTTTGAACAACGATTTTTAAACGCAACAAGACGTCTCATTCGAAGTAATATAGACAAGCAACATGTTCGTTGGATGTTCCGGTAAAAGTTCTTGTGATGGAAACAGATATAGATTATTATAAAGTGGAAGTTCGGGAGATGAAAAATTGCAACTAGAATTCATTACCATTTTTCGTATTGATGTATATATTATACTTAATAAGTAGATGAGTCACGCGTATATATGATATCACATAAATATGACAGGTGTACACGCTTGTATTATATTCTCTACAGGAAATCCGCCAATTCGTTTTGACTGATTAATGGATAATGTGCGCCGTATACCTATACATTTATAATATACTTCGAGAAAACAAACGAAGGAGGTCAAAGCAATAAATATAAATTGTATACTACTACTATACTACTAGGTACTACTACTACTTCTACAAAAAAAAAAAAAAAAAACTTAGTAGTTAGTACTACATACTGATATGGGCGGAAACTCTATGCATAGAGTTTACTTGTATATACGAATACGTTGAGCTATAAGTGCCGATAATTCGTTGATTGTTTAGGAAAAAATAATAATCGTAAAATATAATATTGCCTACAGCATACGATTATGTTATGTCACGCGTCGATATTGAGTTGTATAATTCATTCAGCGCGCGGTGATTTTTATTTATATTTTTTTTTTCTTAAATTCGCAGCTATATACACTATTATATTCAACAAAGTCCTTAACGTAAATATTATATTATTATAATATATAGTTAAAGGAAATAATATTATAGCAATATAATATGTAAGTACGCGCGCTCTGCGGGACAATAATATTATTACGCTATAAAATATCAATGTACTTTATGGATACATGATTATATTGTGTATATTTTAGTAGGTATTTGCATTATATTTTTTATGCACGAAAAAAAATGCTGTAAAAATGCATAGCTAATAATAAAAATAATAATATTGATAGTTAAGACATTTCATTATATATTATAGCTTCATCTATTCGTGTTTTAATAATCGAATAATTCTTTCGCTTGTGTATATAGTGTATATTAAATAATCGTCCCATGTCCGATTGGGCACATTCCAGGATTTTTTCAACCGGTATCCGCTACGATTACGCATTAAATATAAAACTATAAAACATTAGTCGATTTTTTTGTATGGAAATGTTACCCTTATAGGTTAATAAAAAATAAAAAAATGGTCGCTTAAACAGTGATCGAAATAATATAATGGATTTTGTCTAGATGTATAACATCGAAAATAAGAAGAATAATGCGTTTTTGAGTTTGTACAAATAGTTGCAGTTAATATTCAAAATAAAGATAAAATATTAAACGGGTCAAATATGAATAATCTACAATATTATTCTTCTTTGTTTTAAAACCTTCGATAATAAACGCATTTATATTGCAAACATTGACTCGTACATATTATATACGTATATTGACGTAATGGTATAATTTAGAAAATAAAACCTACAAAATGTGCACAATCGGTATATTATATTATTATGAGAATGTATAAGTGTAATATAATACTAGTATTACTGGATCGTACTGCAGGTAAAAATGCAATAAAAACATTTTCAAATTTTATCTTGTATTATAATAACATTATTATATATTTTGTAAATGTCACAATAAGTATACACCGCGGTGTATAACCATATAATAATATTGTAAATGGACTGTCATAATAACCATGCATAGTAGTGCATGTAACCCACAGACGTAGGAATACGTCTATGATACGATAGTACCAGTACGTTCTCTGTGAAATAATTATAACCACTGTAGTTTTGTGCAATTTTTTTTTTTTTTTGTTAAAAAATTAGTTAAATAAGCCAATGCGCGTAATATGCTTATAATAATTGTTTTGTAATCAATAATTTATCATGACCTACTCTACCTAATTGTTGAGATAAAATAAAAAAAAAAAAATCAAATCAATTTATTGAAAACATAATTATTGCAAGAAACTAAAATGGATACAATAATTGTTTTCTCGAATTTCATTTCATATTATAATACCTACCTATTATTATTTGTTCTTGTAAAATCTCCCATAGTCAATATTCGTACTTAATGGTTCGTAAACAATATTGAAAAAACAAAAGCTTGTAATATATTGTTTATTATTTCGTATTCCATTCATTTACGTATTGCACTTATATAATTAGTACATTTTCATCAAACAGACAGTTAAAAAAAAAATATCCAATTTTTTGATTTCAGAGATTTTGTTAATTTCTTGGTCAATCCAGTAACAAACGAAAAACCACTATTAATTATACTACTTCTTTCATAATCGTTTTTCATTCGCAATGATTTATAAACTAGACTATCTGCCGGATTATCTATCTACAACAATGGCTTACCGGTGGTAGGAAGTACGTCCAATTTTTTAAATGTTTTTTCTTCTTTCTATAACGTTTAATATGTTCTTTTTTTTCCTTTGCTTTCATCTCAAATATTTAATGTCGGCCACCCTTGTTCTAAACTTCTACTTGACCGGTCTAACAGCTCACACACACCGGCTATCCTCATATTATTCTCAATCGCATCCAACCACTTCTTTTTCGGTCTTCCGCTCCACCTTCTTTCTGCTATATTTTCATTACAATACTTATTGTTACTCAATATTATTATTAACAGCAGTTATCGGAATCGAAAAATAAATGATTAAATTAGACCGTTGCGGTAATGTACCTAAATAATATATGGCAACGGTATAACTGATTATTAAATTTGAAGGTACCTAACTTATTCGATTTTCGACTGAGAAATATTAAACAATTAATAATTATTATTTGTCTGATTTAAAATCTAACTGCAAGTTATTTGAACGTTTTTAATTTGAATTTATGCACGGTTTAATATATTCTCCAACCATTTATAAAATCGTTAAAACTTCGGATCGTATTGTTCGAAACGTACCTGTATATAAGTGCAAATTGATAAAAACGGTGATAGTAGATAGGTACGTTATGATTTTGGAAAATTAATTAATCTTCTCGCGTATTATTTTTCGTCAATAATAATAACACAAACAAACATTATAACGGTATACGTACAGATATACATAAAACGACGCGTTAGTCGGTTGAATGAACTTCCGCAATCTACGCGTCCCAATCTAATAATTATTACTGCGTTATGCACCTAAACTATACATTATTATTATTATTATTATTCTCTTCGTATATATATATATAATAAATAAATAATAAAAAAAAAAAATATGTATTTTTAATAATGACCGCTTAGGTACCTATATTATAATATATAAAAGTGTAACCGGTTGATATGGTCGTATAGATATTACAAGAGTAGTCCGTGCGGTGGTGCGGTTTTGAAGGACCCATAGAGCCCGAGGTGGTAAAGTTACCGTCGTAATTACAATATTATTGTTAAATTTAAAAAAAGTTTTTTTTGCACGACACGCGGGGAGTGTGTACCTATCAGTGAAAGTACAAACGGCGGCGGCAGGAGAAAGTAAGCTTCAGCCCGCGTATCTCCCCGACAGGTACGAAAAGTAAGGAAGCAAACGCGTGTATTTTTTATTTTATTATTATTTTTTTTTAATTATTATTCCACAGGTAAATAAATATGTAATCTATTTTACTAGTAATCCCACTCTTCACGATACTTATTATTTCTATAGGTATGTTAGGTTTTTTTTTTTTATGTAAATCTGAGGTGCAATACGCGAAAACCTATATGTACACGCAATAATATCATACTATGCATTCGTGAACTTCTAACCCAAACTAATAAGTAATAGGTAATAGGTTAGTGCCGTTAATGACTTTCAAAATAATATGAAAATATACACTTGCATTGCTCTCGCTGCAGGTCGTAACCTTCACCTTTTTATAATAATAATAAAACACTCGATACATTCATAATAATTATTATACAAGCACAGCACATGTCAATATATTATTATATTACATTAACTGTTCTGTCCAACGTTGCCCGTGCCAAACAAATATGTAATAAAAAGGTTTCCCCCCTGGATTTCCCATTTTAATCCCCGTCCCTATCACTGCAGTTAACCGTTTTAACACTGAAATTTTAAAATTTTCTTTTCAAACTTATATGAATTAATTATTTGATAGCTAAGAAATGAAAAAGTTAATCCATATAACTCTTGTGGTAACGTAACGTTTGTGGAATGAAAAATAGGAAAAAAATAAAATAAAATAATATATGTTTTCAGGCTCGAACTTAAAACCGTTGGGATAAAACGTGCAAATACAGGGCAAAATTTTAGTTAGGTGCCTCTAACTATTGTTCTAATAAACAGATTAAAGACTTTAAAAGCTAATAACCTGCTCATCCAATCGTTTCCCACTGAATTGCTAACGAAAAAATGATTCTGAGCGGAGTTGCTTTTTCAACAATATGTATGTCATATTGTAGTAAAATGATTATAACAATGATTGTATAAAAAAGATTTAAAATAATAAAAACTTAAAAATAAAAAAAAAAATAAAAACGGTTGCCGAAGATAGCCTTATTTTTAATCTTTCAATCTCTTTAACCTAAAGAACCAGGTTTTTCTTATTATATTTAATATTAACGAGAATTCAAAAAATGACCTCCCAAGTCAAGTTAAGTACCACCCAAAGAACTTTTTCTTTCAGAAAAGGTGCTATACTTGACAATAGGAGTATGCTTTCTTGTAGAAAAATTGTTCACATAAAAAAATAAAATAAATAAATAAATAAACACCATAGTAAAAACAACATATTCCTCGTCCCACCTAGAATCTAATACCATCCAAACTTTCAACCCTTTTTTCATACAAACCTTTATTTTTGTTCATAACAATTTTTTGTTATGGAAATGTGTTACAGCAATTATTTTTGTTTATTTACGGGCTACCTTAGTGATATGGATAAAATAAAAAAAAGTATTGAAATTTACATATAAAAATACGATTTAAATTTACGGCTTATCTGGTGGATTTTCCAAAAATTTTCTTTCATTAAAATTTTTTCCTAGCAATTATGAATATAATATAAATTAGACAAACAGGTCAAATAATTTTCAAGTTATATGCTCATCAACGAAAATAAGCATTCAACACTTAATTCCCTATATCTAATATAGCCCCTCTAAAACCAGATTTTAGTCACCCCAAGATTGACGATAAAATAATATAAGTTAAGTGTACACTAAATATTATAATGGTCTTAGAAAATCAAAATGTGACAGTTTTTTTAACGAGACTACAAAAATAAAAAATGACTCATTTGATTCTTATTAAAAAAAAACCATTGAAAGAAGATAGCAATTTAATATTGATTTAATTTTGATATTAAGTATTATATTATAGTTTCATGAATTATGAGCAGGTCAGGTCACACTGCCGATATTTATTGGCGGTTTTAACGAGGATTTTGAAACAAATTAAAATTTCTCTACTCAAAAATATTCAAATTCGTTTTCATTTAAAACTCGTATCGGGTTCTTATCGAAAATATTTTTCGTGTAATCACGGAATTCGTTTAAAAACACATTATTGTTCGTGTAAAACGAAAAAAAAATACCATTAAAAGTGATTTTAGAATTTGTATTCATGTATTTTTACTCTTTTTTACTTTTGTCATAAAAACTATATCAAGGCAAATATATTATGACGAGGATAGGACGTTTTCATTTTCAATTTACTTTAATTAAACGGTAGATATTCAAAATAAAAAAATGGAACTTCTTTTAAAAATTAATATTTAACTAAATTTAACCTATGCCATTTCCAAGATATAAGCCGTGTTCTTTAATTTAAAAGTGGGGTATGCCAATCTGGAACGTATTTGTCCGGAAAGCTTTTTCTGGGAATTTAAAAACTAAAAGCCGTATTTGACCGGAATTATACCTGCGTTTCGGACAAATATAGATTTTAATTTTTAGTTTCCGGGCCAACACGGCCCATGATTTATACGTTCCGGGCCAATACGTGACACCTTTATTTTCATTGTGAACATTTTTACACTCACTTCCACGATTTTTGGACACGACGATTGAATAATAAAATCTCTGCCATCGAAATGTATTTTGGTTTACCTAATCATCGTGACGATTCGTGACTATATTACGATCGATATTAAAATTATTACCGCACGTTTAATGTGAATAAATTTTAAAGTTTTATATAATATACATTTAAAGTTGTTTAATATACAAATTCAAGAGCGTATAAAGTACCTACTCAGTTGAAAGTATAATAAATTATACAATAATTTAATTACGTATATATAAATATATAATTCGGTACCTACATTAAATAACAGTAAAAATTATCATTCGGCGAAACGAAACTTAAAAAAAAAAAATATATTTGTATCTAAATATCTAAAAAATTAATAAACAAATATTGCAATATTATTATCGATAATATAGGTAGGTACTACAAAATAGAAATAAAACAAAATGCACTAGGTACAGGTACCTGTAGTTAAATTACCACTATTAATTTGTTTTTTTTTTTTTATATAAAACGCAATTACAGCTATTATAGCGGAATACGTAAATTAGTTTGTAATTTAAATAATTTTCAATGCTTTTTTATGTACTTAAAAAATAACTCTGTACACCTAGTACAACTTTTTGTCATTTACTCGTAGAGGTATAATCTCAGTACCACACTTTAATGTTATTTTTATGTTAAATCAAATCTAACGCGTACCTACGATTTTTTTTATATTTGTGTACACTTATACAATATACATTATACACATCGTAATATTTTAATAATAATAATATAACCTTGAACAATATTATTATCCGTAATATTTTATGTTTACATGTGCAATTTTTATTAATCTAATACTAATTTATTAAAAGTTAAATAAACTGAATTATCAATTGCGATTATATTAATAATAATATATTACAACCTATATTATCAAAATCATATAAGTATATAGATAATGTAATTATTATTGAATCGTATAGCAAATAATACAATATATTAAATTTTTATATTTTTTAATGATCGTTAATATTGTTATTATCGAAGTAAAATATAATAATAATATGTGTAAACATCATTAATGCGTGTTAACATCCTAAAATTTTTAGCAAATCAATGAAAATAATATAAAATATCATGCTATGATGTTATTACGTTTTTATGTTATTGTTATCAGCTGCTGTTTATCACTTATCATAGTGTATACAAATAATATTTTTTGCATCATAACCGATAAATACATTATTATTATTATGATTTTATTTAAGTACACAATGCATTCACAAAAACGAAAACTTGTAATTAAAAATATGAAGGTAGGTAATAAAAAAAAAAGTGCCGATTGTCTTTTCGTGCAACATACCTAAAGATTTTATTTTCTAATATAGAAAACAGTTTCACCGTTTATATAGAATATAATTGTTTCTTTCATATTAAATAAATTGTATTTATTATTAGATACTTTTTTTTATACTCCATAATATTATTTAGTTTTTTTTTTCAAAATGCCTAGATATGATTCTTTAGATGATAATTTTAAATCCATTAGATTGTTTAATTTCTACTATAGGTATACCTACTATAATTAACCTACCTAACCTAACTAACTTAACTAAGCTACTTCAAAATGACCGAGACTAAAAAAACTTTACTATGTAATATTATTACAGTGGGCTGTACGCCTGTACAATTAATATTGTAAATAATATTATGCCTGATATCTACTTGATAATGCATTTATTTAATTGGTCATCTACGCATGTTATCATGAATTCAATCTCTTAGAGGTTCTAAGCCTCCCATAAATTGATAAAAGAAATTGATGACTTTTTTTTGTATACTTTGCAAGTAAACAATACCCAATATTCATAATGACTATTTTTTTTTTTATTGATAATAACAATAATAAAATCGCTTGTGCCTCCCCAGCAACGTGTTTACGCTCCTCGGTAGGAAGGGGTGCCCCCCGTTTGGAAAACAACGTACCTAACTATTTATAATCAATGGTATAATAGAGTAATATGTTCGACACGAATTGCTATTTTTCGTAAAAACTTGTAAGTGTATAATAACTAATAAGTAATTAGAGCTCGCGTTAAAATAGGTTGATTCCGAACGAAAGAAACTGGCTGTGTAATAAATAATGTTTAAATTGACACGGGGTGTTTGAAATTATTAAGTATACTATAGGTATTGTTCGACACGTCATATAAATGGCGCGGCGGGTCGTATATTATAAAATAAATGTGTATCAAGGTTGAAATAATTATAGGTATATTATATACATTGTACCTATGGATTTTTATTTTGAATGATTAAATGGAAAAAAAAAAAGCCTGAATGAAATGATTATATAATAATATCGTAGTATGTTATATGCCTATTATACTATTATTGTGAGTCATGAATAAAATATTAAGACAATATAATATATATAATAAGAAAAAAAAATGCGTTTCATAAATAAGAGTTTTCGAATAATTTATAATTAATCAATAATTATTACTCCCTTTTTATTAATATTTTTTACCATAACATATTTCACTTAACGTGTTGACATTACGTGCAATACGCAAGTACACTATTACATTATTCGATACGGAATAAATACACAGTATGTACAAATATAATACGAATAAATTATTTAATTAATTGACGGGACACGTATATTATACAACTTTCATTGTATTCGCATTTTAATTATTGTACACATTGATTATAATTATTCATAATGTATTGAAATAAAATATAATCACCATACAGAGATATCTAATAATAGCTAATTATAGTTTGTTCATTATACAGCAATTATCTATTATAGTTATTTTTTATTATTATCGCATACACAGGTCTATGAAATGCACTAAAAAACCTTGAAAAAACATTTCAAATCCCAAAAAAGCGATTATTCACTTAAAATTTTTAAAAAAATTAAAATGCTGTAGGTTGGGCATTACCCAAATGAAAAGTTAAAAGTTAAGTTAAGTTTAACTTTTAGAATTTGATTTATTATCAACTTGACTTAGTTTTTATTTGCATTCATTTAATAGTTGATAAACGAGTTTAAACAAACTATATTTCGATGTTCAACAAATGAATCCCTTTAATCATCAGATTTAATCATTTCGAGTTTCGATTAACTAAGTAAAATGCAATATTTCGAAGATTTCTTTTGAATTCACAGTATTTATATTGTATTAATTATAAATAATAATTAAAGATTTAGATGAATATCTATTTAAACATATATAGTAACTATAGTAAGTCATACTGAACAGTAACATTTTCGATTAAAGCGCGATGACGTGCAAAATAATAGTATTAAAACTAGTACGCGTATTAACACATTTATTTTATGTGGAGTCTACATCGACCGACAAGCTGTTATTGTTCTATTTTATTATTGTTCTTATCGGGAACAGGCCTTCTAGCGTTATCTTTTATCACCTTAATAATGTTATAATGAATTCGACCGGCAGAATGCATGTGAAAAACGGGTTTCAATTTAAAAAAAAAAAATCACCGGAAGCGTCGTTGTGTTCCGACAACATATTGTTTAACTTATGTAGCGAACCAAATTCTCTCTTAACACCTTAACTTAATATAGTCGACGCAAATTAAAAGTTGTGTAAGTACTCACCAGGTCTTTGACTCTGCTAGAGTTTTTACTCGTAATTGACAAATCCTCAACTGAATCTTTAATCATCTGCAAAAGAAACAAATTCAAAACACATGTATAAGTATTTGAATTGTGATGTGGTAATAACTAAGACCATCAGAGAGACATAATATGTTTTTAATTTATATAAGTACCCGGTACATGGATATAAAAATATGTATTTTAGAAAAAGCGTACATCAAATAAAAAAGAACCGATATTGCCACTGTTGTAGGAGAGCAGTTGGGATGGTAAAAGATATAGAGTAATTTAGATTACATCTGTGATAAATCACTGTTATCAGAAAACAATTATGACCAAATTTCGGTTAAACATGCCGTGACATTTAAGATTTTCATAAAACGTTTACAAAAAAAAAACCTACATTACGCTTATCAGAGTCAAAACAACTTTATGTCTATATTTTCAACATAAAGTAGAAATAAATAATTTCTTTTTTTTACTGGTCTTTTAATATTCTTTCTATGTACATTAAATTCCGAAAACCTAGGAAAAACAGAGAATCTAATACATATTACGTTAGAGAAAATAATATTATAGAAATCAATTACAATTAAAGACAGCGATAGGTTAGGCATACATCAAGAAATCAAAAACCTACTACTACGGACATTGCAAGTGCTGGAACAAAACCCTGTGGGGAAAAGTCTTCTAGAGTCCAAAAAATAATATAAAGTAAATAAAGATGTGGAAGCTTTAAAAGTTTAGCCAAATCGGACGATTTTGGCGATTTTTACTATAGATAAATGATTATTGAGTGAGCCAAATAAAATTGTCCAAATAATAATATAGTATAATAAATTAATATTATAAATATAAAATTACTTTATAGGTTAGGTACAATAAATGACAAATGTCTATAGAGATAATTTAAAAACCACTTACAGAATGTTTTGAAAATGTTATCACACCTAGAAAAGGTTGACATAGGTACTTTGTAAACATTCCAAGTATATAAAATTATTTTTTATAAAATGACAACAAAATATAAAATTGAAAATAATAACGACATCGTTATTGCCGTAAACTTTCTTATTTTGCTTACTTTTTTCTCTCTCTTTTTTTTTTTAATTATTAAGAAACCTATAAAAAAAAACAATAAATGATCTCAAAATGCATCAACTAAATCCAAAATACTACAAAATAGCTCTCTAGTCATTTTTGAATTGAAGTAATAGAATCGCATAGAAAAACCAATACATTCCTCGCTACACTCAGAATCTAAAAAAAGTGACACTTTATTTTTTCGTAAATTGAATTTATAGTTTAATTAACTGACTGTAGTGACTTGATTATACATATCAAACGAGTTGAGTGGAGTAAATAATATAACCTATTAGAGTGAAAACTGTAAGTGATTATTTAACGGAATGAATTATATGTTAGGTTTAGTCGGTATTTCATTATTTTTAAAGGCAAGTGACAAGAAAAATGTAGAAATCACACATGTGCTGCGTGTTTGAAGTGAAAAAAAAAATTCACCAGCCAATAGGTAATAACGCCTACCTACCTACCTACCTATACTTACTCATATTATAATTCTTAATGAGTAATTAAACATTAAAACCAATTAAGGGCACGTTCTCGTGATAATGTGTAATTAATGAGATAACGACGACGACGACGGGAAGTAAACGACGACTAGGTTCGTAAACGCGTATCCAATAATAATTTATTAATTTGCTATATTTACGGCGGTATATAACGTATTTTATTTTATTTTTTTCTTTGAAGTTTTAAAATCGATATGCTTCATATATTTAGAAAAACCTAAGAAAATAAACTTCTTGTTTTCGAAAGGAAAATTCTAAAGAAAATTTATGTGGATGTAAAAATACACAGAAATCGTTGAGTGAAAAATAAGAAAGAATGAGGAATTCGAATTATTGTATCAGAGACCGAACATCGTATAGAAGTTATCGTAAGTAAGGGATTATAATAGACAGAGTACGCTCGGGGAAGCCAAACATCATTATTTCGTACACAGTGCTAGACAGAAACCGACAGGGAAAATACACATTGAAGCATCAAGTGGAAAGAAGGGAAGTCGTAGAATCGAAATGGCGAGGAAGAACTAGGAGGACGATTAAACTGAAAAACACGAGCATGGGTCGATTCAGTACATACCCTGAAAAAAAAAATACTTCAAATGTTTTAATACATAAAACATACACCTACGCGGGAGTGTCGACGTTATTTTATGTGGTGTTTTACTATGATTAAATGTATATTACGCAGATATGGGTTGTACGGTATAGTATCCGTGTACACGGAAGTCTTAAACTACCTGTATGATTATCTTCGCATTATATTATAGACATAATATCATTATGATTAAACTATACTACACAAAGGTGAAAATACAATAAATATACTATAAATCTACCAATAAAAAATGTAGGAGTAAACATGTAGACTTAAATATGTATCATATTTTTACGATTTTTTAATATAATGTCTTTTTAAATACTTCTTATAGATATTAAGGATCCGAATTTAATGTACCAAAAAACCTTGAAAAATGCACTGAAAAATCAAAATGTGGAAAATAAAATAAATAAACGTTTTACGCAGAGAAAAAAAAATATAACTATTTTCATAAGTTAACAAAAATAAAAATAAAAATGATTTTCTTAATTTACAAAGATACACATACAAATAACGAATATAATAAATGGTTTTAAATACATTGTATTGAGTAATTATTATTAAATAATGAAATTTAATTTCATAACTGCCGAAAATTATTTGAAAATGTTATAAAAAGAAATACGTAATGGTTTCAAGGTCGGATTCACTAGTACTTACATGCATAGGTAACAAATACCTAATTCAAATTTTGTATTGACAAAGCTGCAACGTTTTACATTATAACTGAATTATTTTATTTATTGAAAATAAGTAAATATTTGTCAATTTTAAATAAATTATAACTATCGTATTATTTAGAGTGCTGAAACATAACAAAAATATTTAAACGTGATGGAAACGTATATTTTTAAATGACACCGCAGGTACAAATTATATATTCACGAAAATCAATCCCACTCTAATATGACCATACGTTAACTTTCAAATACAATACCAAAATATATGTCAATAATTTATTTAAAAGACTAACTAAATAGCCGCAAGGTTAATTTAAATTTATAATATTTATTTTTTTTTTCATCGACAGGTGATAATAATATTATACAGTACATACTTCCCGTTTAAAAGAAAGTGAAATTATTGTTTTACTTTAACTTTAATTCGATTATGCAACAAACGAATTTAATTTTAAGAGTGTGTTTTATAGTCCCGCAACAGATTAAACTATATTTTACATGTATTATAAGTAGGCTCGAATATTGTAATATAATGTCGACTGTGAAGTTTCTAATATATATATTTAAATATTCGAAAATTGCGCTCCGAGGACAATTTCAATTTTAACTACTTACGATATATCACATATAGATCTACTATACATATAGTGTTTTAATTTCGCAACAGTTACTTACACTATTTATAGTCGTAGCGTGTTTTTTTTTTTTTTATGGCCACAGGCACAGGAAATGCCGGAGGTACCTCTATATGCTAACAGTTCTCATTATTTCATAATGTCACATGCGGTCCGAGAGCTTTCCCCTCGCGTATTCGACTTTCTAATGCCGTCAGATGTCAAAAAGATTATTACTTAGCTGATGGGCTATTAGTTTGAGAAAAAAAAAACATAATAATACCTGGGAGCTTAATTCATTCCGCAAGTTTGTTTAAAAAAAAAAACAAATATTAATAATGTTGAAAATTACGTATTACATAATATTATATATATTGACATTCGCGTGTTTGTATTGATATAGGTATAAGTATTAACTATAATAATAATATTATACTGTTTAAAATTTAATTATAAAACGTTATAACGAAAGGAAAACATTATGATATATATCAGGTATATCATACGTTTTGTTCGAATATATTAAAAAATCTAATAACAAATAATATTTAACCTTAGGTATGTAAACAGATAATAATAATAATAATAATAATAGCTCAATATTAATTAATTCGTTTTCGGCGAACACCGCGGAAAAAGAATTTGTATGAGAAGTAACAATGTTAATATTATACTGCGGGTTACCTTAACAATATTGTAATAACTTTTTTCTGTAACGCTGTAGTGATTTTTCTCGTAGATTACGTACGCTTTATTATTATTATCATTATTATTTATTATAGTTTTGACCGCGAACACAATGTAAACAACAGACATAACATTTTATGAATAGTAATATTGTATTATCTACAGCGATAATCCTTTATAATATGAAATATACGAGATAGGTGATATCTTTAGTTGAATAATATTATTATGCCGTAATAAGACTTATATCATAGATTAACATAATATTTTATAATTCATGCAATAATTTTTGAATTTTGTTTGTATCAGTTATGAATTTAGAGTCAATGTATGTTTGCTATATTATTGTAAGATATAGTTTTTTTCATATTAAATTCAAATAATTAGGTGTAACAATAAACTCAGTTTTGAAATTTTTGTTTTGCTTTTTTCCGACATTTTTGTTTTTTTCTTATATTCTAAACGCAGCGAAGAATGCATGTTTCTATTATGATATATGCTTTTGTTTCTGTCAATAAACGACTTTTCTTGCTATAATCAAGAAAGCATTTAAGTAACATTTTGAATCTAGCTAGTGCAATGAAGAGGCCATTTTTTTTTTATTTTCGAAACAGTTTACATTTATCTACCCGGGAAAAAAGTATAGAAAGAACGGACAAATTCACGGCACTAAAAGCTTCATTATTTTCAATTTATTTTTTCTATCAGAAATCTTACTTTTATATAAATTAAATAACTTTACGTATCCTACCTTCCTAACTTCACACCTACAACAACGGCACACTAATCAGCAATATCAGATTTTTTTCCGGGGTCATTTTTTTTTTTTTTTTTAAGAAATTCTGCTTTTCAAATATTATCATATGTTTTATCTACTCGTGACATATAACATGTTGTGGTTTATTATATTTGCAAATCATATCTATATTATGTTGTATTACACTTTTGAAGGGATTTCAAATATTTTTTGTTCAATGTTTATTAGTATTTATTACACTTAATAGTATAACGCCGAAAATCAAATATGATCATAGTTTTGTTTTCATTATTGTAATATATATATATATATATATAAATTATATATTATTGTCTTGCAAAAAATATAAAATTAAAAGTGCGTTTAATCGATTTTCTCCTATTTAGAACAACAAAATTAGTAATAAAAAAAAAGCAAATTAAAAATTTAATCGCGAGATGATCGAGCAAACAAAAAAAAAAAACAAACCTAAAAAAATGAATTTCCAGCCGTTCGGAGCGGGGATTTACGCTATAATATTAAGACGGCGCGGACCGCGACGGTGGGAACAAAACAATGCTAATACGCGGGTGTATACGCGTAAGTATACGAAAAAAAAAAAAATAATAATAATAATAAAAAAAAATGGTAAATGCCGGGGTCACGTTCCCGCGATGGCCAAAGTATCTTTTCACACGAGGAGGATGTGCCACTTATCCGCACAATATTATTATATATACTCTTTCCGCAGCCGCCGCCGCACGGGGGCCCCGCGTTATTATTATTATTATAACCAGCCTCTTGGTCCACTGACCCACCTATATGATGCGAACGAATCTCCCGTTACCGGGTTGATGGTCGTATACCTGTATATATATATACATACACACGTAAGTTATACATTATATGTATAGGTATATGTATTTTCCGCGATTTTTATTCTCCCTGCGGAAACGCGTCTACAATCTCCTATGCCGTCGCCGTCGTCGTCCGCCGACTACCCTCGCCGGCGCATCGGCGGAATACGGATATAATAATATTATGTTCAAACGGTTCATACGGTTTTGCGTACACCCAAATACGATATCGGTGTAATATTATAATATAGACGTCTATAACAGAGGTATACGCGAGCACGTGCCTCCGCTATATTATTATACGACACACTGCTGCTATATTATACGATGAGGTACGTACGTATTATTATTTTCACCGACAATTTCTGCCGGGCTAGTGACGACGATACGGTCAGACATGGAGTCCCGGAAGAGCGCCCCGAATTTATAATACACACACACACACACACGCATGTAAGTACGTAACAATCGGCCCATTTACCGTATAAGGGCACTCGGCGTGTCCCAGATAAGTCTCGGTTAAATGTCAAATAAGAACAATTGGCTAAATCGGAAGACTGGTTACTGTGGCGGCGGCGGCGGAGCTGCGATTCACTATATTATAATATTATAGGTACCCCTCCCTCTCCTCCTAGACGGTATGCCGCCGCCGAGAGAATATCTCAAACCGGCTGATGAAATTTCGAACGATAGGTAAATAATTTATTATGTGGAACATGCGCTGTACAGGTACGAAAGGAAGTCGTTGAGAAAAAAAAAACTAAACGAGTTCTCAGTTCGTTCGTTTGGAACATCGAATAAATAATTAAACGACCGACATCTCTCCCTCCCCCTCTCCCCCGCGATTGTTGTTTGTACATAATTGTTGTATATCGAGAGTATATGAATGAATGAAATCCCAGTGAGGTGCATTATTATTATTATATACTATATTATTTTGTAGTCGACTGCAACGAGAAGAACACACGGTTTACCCGGATAACAATATAACGTAACACATATATTATTATAATAGGTAACATAATCGATAAAACAAAAAAAACAAAACAAAACGTTCAATCGATTTATATATGTTATTTACAATAAACTGTAAATTATACACGGGTAGCCTACATCGATAAATCGCGTTTTCCATCAGTTTTTAGCTTAAAGACATTTTTGTGCAATAATATTATGTTCCAACGTATTATTTTATATTAATGTGTTTTTTTATTAAGTTAATTTAGTTATTTCTTTTAATAAACAATTTTAACTTGGTTATTTTGTTAAAATTTAAATTGTTTCTAAAAAGTTATCTAGATACGCATTTTTTTTTTTATTATTATTGTGTTTACCTATATTTTTTGAATTTATATTTCATTACAAAAATTACGTATTTTTATTTGAATAACATTATCACATAACAAGACGAGCACATATTCCTATGGGATAACTACAAGAGTTTTATGTTGAAAGTCTATAAAATAACAATATAAATTAGAATACAAAATAAGTTTATGAGTTCAATACATATAGTTAAGGATGATTTAACAATTCACCAATTTAGTAAAGTAGTTTTTTACTTTTAATATGACTTAAGTTATTATTATCCTAAATATGTGTAAAATGTATATTGTATATTCGTTTCATACTAAATAACATTTCAAATAATCTATTATATTTGAAAAATATTAATATAATATATTAGAAGGTCAAAAAAGTTATATATAAATATTACATTTATACTAAAAATCAGTCTTGTAAAAAATACTTTTTAAATTGTATTTAAATACGTCTCAAATACTTTTTTTATTTGACTTAATAGTTAATTCAAGTAGGTTTGTAAAATTCATTCTGGAATTTCGAACCCAAAATTTAATATTCTACTATTTAAATGACTAGGTACTACTAAGGTACTATTTAAGTACCTATTATTAGAAATTGGTATTATCTACATTACTTTTTACTGAAAAATGAAAATAAATAAAATGTGTTGTATGTTTATTCAGAAATAATTTAATACTTTAGAGTTTAGATGAATTAAACAAATGTTAATGAAATGGGAACTATAAAACCATGCCGTAATCATCTCCAAAATTTTGTTTTGCACTTAAGCACCATGGTTTTTTCTAAATATGTTTATATATGAAATGTTTGTTGTAAGCCTTTCATGGTAGTTAAATTTCTGTCGCATTCGTCACGACACTGTCAATTTGCGTTTGTTTGACTTCGCTCTCTTAGGTTTATAACGTGGACGATATCACAAGATCCAAATCACGGAATACAAAATATAATATTTTATTTTATTAGATACTTATTAAACATTAAATGTTTAAACTAATAAAGCATTTACATGGAAGTATTTGAAATTCAAATAAAAATAGGTCCAAGACAGTATTTAAATACATTTACTTAAATACTTTTACTCAAATACTTTACAAGACTACTAAAATCTAAATATGTTTACTATATTATATTACAATATCCTAATCCTAATTTTCCTTAAGTTCGTTGATATGCTATATTTATAGTTCGTACCTTAATAATAATAAAAAATCATCACGCGTGTGTCATAGCTACATAATTTTTTTAAATTAATACTTTAGTCACACATATTATATTATAGTAAACAATAAAGATTTATATTTGACCCCGAAATCCAATATGGATTGTAGCAGAAATTATTTCGTAAGTTTTAACGCGAGTAATTTCTACGCTAAGTTGTGTATTAATATAATGCAACCGAATTTCCCTCACAAACCCTATTTGGAAAACAATTGTCCTGCGCAGTGCAATATTGCTGGTTGGTATCAAATGTAATTATTATTAACGGAAATTATTATTCGCGATGAGGCTTATAACTCGAAATCGTCTCTTCTATCGCGTAATAGGAAAATGTATTGTCGAAGAAACGAATTCGATAAATTGAATTCGTGACCAAAAATCACAATTGGTTAGATCAAAGAGGTGAATGTCCAACAGCTAGGAGGTTAAGGCCAGTATTGATTTGTGGTCAATCGTAATTATTCCCGGAGGCTCTACACCAGTGTATACTGTACAGACGACTTTAGCCGATTTACGATAAACGACACTGGGTCGAGGCCGATTAGTTCTATCCAACATATTATATCGACCTATCAATAATATACCTACACGTGTATAAGCTTCACTAATAGACTAGATTTATAAACTATAAACAATTTTAAAAATGTGTTGTTATATTCTGAAAAATAAAAAAGTATACCGAAAATTATTACGTCACGGTAAAAAAAATTTTTTTGGAACAGATTACAATGTTTTTTTATCTACCCGCCTGTAACAATATTAGTTCAGTATTCTTTTGAAAAATAATGATTGTTACTTTATAGGATACCTACATGACTCCTAATATTTTTTAAATTACCGTATACTGAGAATGAGCAGTGGACCATGACAGTTCAAAATCGTTATTTCACGAAGCTTGCAAAAAAGGAAAAAAAAAATTGCAAATTGTTCTATAGTCCTTTCGGGACAATAAGTAGTATACATTATTATTTAAGTATGCTTTAAATTACTCGTGCAACTATTATTATTAAAAAATAATAATAATAATAATTGAAAGGTAAATACGATAATTATTTAATTCAAAATTAATATAAAAAAAGTACATAATGTATATAAAAACTGAAATTCACGTGACTTTTTGAATTTTTTAATAAAATAAATTATTTTTTAATGATTTATAGTTATTAAATACAAATTAAGTAACATTAAAGTACATACACTATAGATACCTGTATATTTGTATTACATTTTGACCTCATAGAATTTATTTTAAAGAATAAGCAGGAAAAATGTGTTTATATTTAAATTTATTAATTCAAATGTTGATGAAAACATCATGTTATGAACTATATTAGTGTACGAGCTAGTGTTGTTTTTTTAAAATATTACATTATTCGTTATACCTATAATACCTAAATATAATAATAATATAACATAGATGGTAATAAAAATATTTCTTAATAATATATTATTTGTATTTAACTACCCAGCGTAATATAATAAAAATTACTGTGACATTAGGGTAATATGAAAATACATAAATATTCATATGAATATTACGATGCATAAAAAATTAGTTTTTAATTGTTAAATTGTTTAATTAAGTCGTGTAAAAATTCCTATCAAGAATTAAAGTGAAATAAGACAAAACTCTTAGTAAGATAAAACAAAATTCTTTTTAAATTCCTTAAGCCTTCATTCGCACTAGGTGTACTTGATGTATACCTATACAAATAACATTCGTAACTATTGTAAAAAGCGGTTTTTTTTTCTGAAAAATGATTAGGTATAGGAAAAAATAATTATGGTCCAATAGCTTTCTGATCATAATTCTGAGAACGTACAGGTATAGATAATTTATCGTTTTATTTCTAACATTATTATAGTAGACTTTGTAGGCACTGGAAATTTGTATTTTAAAATAATATTTACTGGCAGTAAATATTTAAAATATTATCATGATATTCAACAAAAATAATATTGCCATAAAATGTGTTGTGTAAATAATATTTACCACATTTATATTATATGAAATAGGAATTCTACTACTAAATTCAAATAATTTTAAGTTTACAGGGAAAACGCCAGGTATAGTTTATATATTATACATCCTGATAAATTTAATTAAGTAATTATTTAGCATTAAATTATAATTATTAATTCTGATTCGATAATTATACGATCATAAAAATATTGTATACATAAAAAATAAGAATTACTGCGGGCTTTATTTCGAATAAATAGGTATTCGTTATTGTTCCCAAATAGAAGCAATTGCACAGTATTACGTCTGTTACATATGTTGGTTTCTTGCTACTTTCGGACATTTCTAGCGGCTTTCAGAAGGAACAATTGAGTTCAAATTCGAAAATCAAAGTTGTATTATAGACAGATTGAAGTGATATAAATTGAATTATGTTGTTGTGAGAAGAAGGTGGTTTTTTAGCATTGTACACCCCTAAAGATCCCCCGAATTAAGCTACGGGAATGACATTTTAACATGACGTTTGTATCAAGAATGTGTCTTTTGTTGATATTCCACCGTCCCTGCCATTTTTATGATCAAATTTCATCTTTTCTTTTCTTTTGCAAATAGTTTAATAAATTGTAGTATATAGTATAATTGAGTATTATACTATTATAGTATTCTGTTATTTATTGTTTTTCAAAATTTTGTAATACAAAACAGTTGGGGGAAAATTCGACTCTAGTGACGGAGCTCTGCTATTCACAGGCGTTTTATTTTTATATAGCTTTATTGTCTATTGAAAAGTTATCGAGAATTGAGTTTTAACAGAGATGCACAGAGAACTGCAGTCTACCGATAGAAAAATTGAAGATCGGAAGAAGTTGAAGTCTTAAACTGTTTAATAGTAGGAAATGATAACCTTGATTGGCTTGTTTAATGATTAGGCTCTGCGCATTGTTTGAAATTCTGTTACGCTCGAACACACATGCTAATAGATTTGACTATACAATAAATTGAATTTGGTTAATCAATTATTATCGTTTAGAACGATATAGTGGGTGAGGTTTTATAACTATAGGACATGCTGGTTTATGTGAAGAAAACAATGTTAAGGCCACAAGATAATAATATGTGTATTTTCGCTGATGTAATTTCAAAAATTACCTATTTTTTTATCATTAAACTATAATTGTATTAATATTGTGTTTTGTAAAAAATGTCACAGTGTCAATGAAATAATGAACCTAAACGGGAAATAGTTAAACCGTTAGTTAAAATAATTATCGACGTATAATTAAGCAATTAACCGTTTAACTTAGTAATAGTTAAGCAGGTATTTAATTTATTAATGAAGTTAATATGTTTCTAAACTAATTAAATATAATTGAACCTACCTACAGTAGTTATTATATATCTTTAAAATTGATAATTGCAATGTAATAAACTGCATATTAAATGTGTTAAATTACTTTTTTAATGATAATTTAGGTACTTTTAAACTATAGTACCTCTATTGCATTTTTTTCTTCGAAAATGCGCATTGCGAAATTCCTATAAAATTTCATATAAATATACAATGTTACAAATTTGTTAACGAAACGGTATTATGTTTATAAACTAAACCACATAAGCATTAATAATATAAAAAAAAAAACCGTTCAAAATGTATTGATAACGACGTGAATAATACCGTTCAACCGCACACCAGGAACGATTTTAATCTCAAACAATAACAGCGCGTTTATGTAGGTGAGGTCCTTAATAGTACGTATTAAATAAATATAGTTTCTAAGAAAATATTTAGAAAAATAGAAAATATGAATTCGACGGTAAATTCGAGAATAGAAAATTGTTCCCAAATAATCAGGCACCTACTGTATAGGGATATAGGTAATTTTACGTTGAAAAAAAAAAAACAAACGGAGCGGGCGTTAAAGTTTTAAAAATATCGTTATTGTTATATCGTTTTACCTGGACGGTGGTGTCGAGGCGAAGCGACGCGTTTAGTAGATCCATCGGGGACGTTATGGAGAAATACGACGATGGGACGTGCGATGCGGTTGTATATAGTGCGTGTGTGTATATATATATGTATATATATATATATATATATATACTGTATAATATCAATGAGCAAAAAAAATATGATTATTATTATCCGTTAAAAAAACGACCGCGGCTGTAGGTATACCAGTGATAACAGTAATAAAACGCAACGACGAACCTCGCGGACGAGACACTCAACCGGCGGCAATAACGACGGCGGTACCGGTACCATAATTCCGGACACACGCGCGCATGCGGGACGACACGGCGACAATCGAAAAACACGTTTCACCGTTGGAACGCGAGACCGAACTGAGCGGGATAATATTATGGCGAAGCACCTGTTGCTGCTCCGACGACCGTCGGTTCTCCGTCATAGCGCAGCGGCAGCAGACGTTTACGTGCGTATTATTATCGTACACGTTGGATCGGATCTATGGCGGCGGCGGCAGTGGCGGCAAAAAGAAAGGAAACTGACACAGCTCTCTACGCGCGCTGCGGCAGTGCCGCACAGTATCTCCCATTGACAGGCCATTACCGCGCGCGATGTTCCGATGTAGTCGGTGTAGTTGTAGGCAGTGGGTATAGAGAAGTGTATATAATATTATGATTCAAAGACACCGATTTGTGAGATTTAGTAACATTATTTTTATTTTTATTTTTTTAATGCGATTATATTATTATGTTTAACGACTAAAAAAAAAAATTTTTTTTTTTTTTTTGATAATATTAGCGCATTTTCTATTCTTAGAAATAATAAAAAATATAAACCCAGGTATTAGAGTCTCTTGGAATAAAGAGTAACTTACTGCGGTTTTAGGTACCTTGGCCCAGACAAAATTACAAAAAAAAACACAAGTAGGTATACATATACAGGTATAACGAAATGATTGTTTAGTTTAATAAATGAATTTCAAACAAAGAAAAGTCATATTTAGTAATATTAAATATAATATATAAATAACATAAAAGCGTACTTTGTGTTAACAGTGAACAATTATATCTTTTTGACGATCAAAATCCTAAAACATTATAAAAACCACAACACCCAAGGATAAATATACTATACTTTATGTGTGACGTTTCCCCCCACTCAACCCTAAATACTTGTAAAATGCAAAACTATTTCTCTCAGAGTCCCAGTGGCGCAATTCACGTCCAACCCGAGATTTTGGAGGCCCTCGAGATCTCATATGCTATAGTTTATAATATACACACACGACACATGGTATAGGTATGTTTTTGCTGTCATTGATACCTACTTAATATTACCAGCGTTAGTTAGCATGGCGCTTTACACGCAGACTATATTATTTGTTTTAATATTTATTTATTTTTTTTTTTTTTTGTCTGCTTATTGTGAGCAGAGACGGACAATGCAGATGTATAGAAAGACACCTTTTTTACTTTTACATTTATTTAAATAGTTGACAACCTTAAAGGGCCCCAGTGTGGAAATTTGTACGTTGGCCTCTCATTATCAAGTTGCGCTACTGTAAAATCCCCTATAATACTGAAAAATTAATTTAATTAATTTAATTTAATTTAATGAAATATCTATCAGTAACAAAAATACGCGAAAACGCTCACGAAAAGGTTTCGCCCTGAGATAAGTCACCGCCCCCCATCCCTAATTCCGGCTCTGATAAAACTTTACGATAGCAACTATATAATTGTAATAACTTATGATAGGTAAATTATGGTGAAAACTGTTATGGATTTTTGAATTAATAATATTACAAACGGATAGTAACCCGCGAACAATTTGTAATTTCCCATACTTCACTAATAAAGTAATAACTTATAACCGTTATGGTCAATGATAATATGTTACCGGCCGTTGACATTGAGCAACAGTGTATGAATGATAAACATATGCATCCACTGTCTAATAAAATAATAACCCATTCCTAAGTATACTTTATATAGGTATTTATCAATTCATATTCTGCTAGGTTTGGCGATGTTAAAGAATAGTAAATATATGCTAAAAAAAACTCTCTACTCTTAAGTCATATGTTAAACTTTCACGCGTCTATAAAATAATAATATAACGTAGGTAATAATTGTTTACGACTAGTAATAAATTTACAATTAGTAAACAAATAAAAACAAAATGCAATCCAGGAAGAAAACGTTATGGAATTGAAAACAATATTATTCATATTATAATATTTAACGATTTCATAATAAATTATTCAGATGATAAACGGACATTTTTTATGGGTGCAGTACACGAAATATTATTATATTTATACAACAATAATAATAATAATCCACTCGACTGTTTTGTATAATACATGTAGATTAAAAACTACGTTTTTATTCAATTTCGAAAACCGCGGCAGGTATATATACAAATGTACAATATTATGCGTTTATAGGTTACAATTTTATTCATATTTTCAGAATCATTTCTTTTTTTAAAATCGTTTTTCTTCGCTAAAAGAATTTATTTTTTGTTTTTTGTTTGCGAGTTATAAAAAAAAAAATTCTACATAATATTATATTATATTTAATTTCATATACCTAGAACCCGCTGTGTTGTGCCACTGCAATGATGTTATTCCGTCCTTATACAACGGCTGAATTAATGTCGAACAAAATACCCACACACACACACACACACATACACACACACGACGTTCACAATATGATGCAGATAGCGTATTGTTCGTGAGTCGGTCGTTTTCGCATATATGCACGTAAACGTTTCCTATATCCGTAGGGCTTCCTGATGTACTTAAAAGAGATACGAAGAAATAATAAAGAGAGGGCGTGGGGAAAGAAGAGAAATAAACGATCGGTTCAAACTACTTTTCCCCTTTAGAATATATACATATTACATACGCAGGCCATAATTATTATTGTCTTACGAAAATAATGTCTTAGGTATACCTACTTTATTAGATTCAAATAACGAAATTTAAAGATGGTTATGTAGATCTCAACATAACTAATGTTATTATTCTAACAATAATACATTTTTTATTTTATTTTATTGTTTTTTAATAACTTTATTTTACATTAATCACCACGATATAAAGAAAAAACGAACTATTAGATTTTATATAGATATAGGTAATATCTGAAAATGTCAGGTTAAAACTATGCTGATTCGAAAATTGGTTTTTTAATCAATTTAGAATTTAGATATTAATAGAGAGCATGGTGAAATTTCGAAATGTATGAAAAAAAAAAGTAAATAGTTTATATTATAATAATAACGAAATTAAATTTATTTATAATCTATTTACATTTATTTATATACAAGTGATTCTTGTATTTTTTAAATAATAATTAAATATTTTCAATTTGTAAATATTTCACTTTATTTTATTTTATGGTTTCTATGTATTTCTTTATAAATATATAATATTTTTTTTTTTTTAATACAAATGAATTTCGCAGCAAAAAAGTTCATTAATTTTCTTTGTAATCATATTATTTTACATTAAGTACTTACATATTAATAAAATATATAACATATAATTATATACCTAGAGTTCTGGGCTAAATATGTTTATTAAATATTAATTTAAATGAAGAAACAATTGTTACATGATTAACTTGAACTATACATTTTTTAATTTAAAATACCTCAAAGAAAAAAGAAAATAATCATAACATAACAGTTATGATACATAACTGTAAGTGATGCCAAGATATTTTATACATTTGAAGCCAATTCATTATCTAGGTATTTGTACTTAATTTTTTACAAAATAAATACAGGCAATAAATTCTAAAATTATTATGTTAATAGTTTAGTAGTATTAAAATACGTGTTCCTATTTTGGAATAATGTACTGTTATGCTAGTAATGAAACTCAAAAAGAAATACATTGACTCAGATCTACATTGAAGAATCCCACGGTTTGTTTGTAGGTGAATAAAAATAATAATTACTTCTTGAAGAAAAAAAAAAGAAAGAAAAAAACAATTGTGATTGCGGGTGAATAATAATAATAAAAAAAGTTCATATCAATATATGGTTGATTATTGTTGTTTCGTCCCGTGGGCTATAATCAAAAAAATCGTACACATAGGTATCGGACCACCAACATTATATTAGAGTACTATATAGGTTTAAATTCAATTATTTTCAGGTATATTACCGGCTATATTTTAAAATTTGTAAAGCGGATCTACATTAAAGAATTGTTTCCCACATAAATCGAGACTCGATAAAATAGTTTACACCTTTAATAATATTATGTAGTTTACATCAGTACTACAAATATAGCAGCATGAGTATGTATATTATATAGTACCTATATATAGTTTACATTTTATTTTATTTGATTAAACACGAATTGTTATATACTACGCTTTACTGAGTTATAAACTCGTTCATTTTTTCACCTTCTGAAATGTATTATTATTATGCCCTTGTTTGCCATTTATGTAAACAAAACAATTTTCAAAATTCTATATAATATACAAATGAGCGTATGTTTATAATGTGTTTTATATAAATAAATTACACAGTTTTATTTCGATTTTGGGCACTTAACCCACCTTCAAAATAACAAAAGAAAAATCTATTTTTTATTCCGGAACTCAACCTCTAAAGACCTAAAGGGGAGTTCGCACATGTATTTTACGCTTTAAAATACGAAAATTGAAATTGTTTTTTTCTGGGCGAATTTCCCTGGTTAATTTGGTTGTCAATAGGCAACAAAAATATGTTTAATATACCAGATGACGAAAGTTACAGTTGTTATAGATAAAAATATGCAAAGATGGATTTAACTGTAAACAAATTTTTTAATGATAATTTAATGAGAAGTGCTCTTCCTGATATTTGTATCAATCTGGGAGATATTAATTATGTGGTGGGAAAATTTTAGTTACAAAAAAATATGTATGGATGCGTTCCAGGCAAGCTATTTGTTTTTGCGTTGATCCATACCGACAACAAAAACTAGTAATTTATAAAAAATATATTATATTCGAATAATAGTAGGGAATAATTATATCGATGCATATTTATTCAAAGTGAAGTATCGAAATGAGAATTTGCCCAACCCTGCTATACATAGGTATACCATATATACTAATAAAATAATGGCATATCGTTTTAAACATAATATGCATACAGATACAATGTACAATGAGATGTTATGCATAAATTGACGTGTACATAGGTATTGTAATGGTGGTTTCTCGAATAGTACAACGATGATGATGATGATGATGATGATAATAATAATAATAATAAAAAAATCCGATTAATAAATGGTATACAAATTATTGCTATTATTATGCGCACGCTTAACGGTAGGTAGGTAATTTTGCGCAAGTGTCATGACCGAAACCACGTGCCGGTCTAGCGAAATAAAATTCAAGTGTGCGTTTGTGCAGTTAGGTACCGTTCTCTTCGCATGCTCCGTTTATTAATTGCGTTTCTCGCGGTTAATTCGTTGCCCGGACTGCAATTAAAACGAACAGTACCTGTACGGTCGCTTTTTGGTAATGTTTCGTGCGAATATTATAATATACGAATTAATTTCGGTATATTTTTTATACCCACCCAACTGAAATCCAGTATATATTATATTAAATAATATTATATGCAAATACTTCACGTATAAACGACTATTTTGTTATATTATTTAGATAAACAGACGAGATCCGATTAACAATAGTTACCAGAAAACAGCTAGATAATAATAATTTTAAATTTATCAAAAAGTGAACAAGGAATCGAGGTTAGCGGAACGCGAGAGACAGGACACGTCGACACGGGGACGAATGTATTTCATTTATAAGGAAGTTGGAAGAAGGATGTGTAATATAAAAGAGGTACGAAGGGACAGGCTATACATAAAAGAACTCTAGAATTTATTTCTGCGAGTAATGAATAATCTTGTAGAAATATGAAATCCTCATCGGATATCTATGCTGGAATTTCAATCTATAGACGTGGTATAATTTCCGAAATATTTTGGCTGTTTTTGTGACTTAATTATGGATTTCTTTTTTTAAATCTATTTCAATACACTTTTTGTGACTTAATTAATACAATTTCCGTTATATAAATCACTCTTACTGGTCAGGAAAATTTAAACATTTAAGTCTAATGTGATGATTTTTTGTTTTGAATTAATGTTTAAAATTCAAATCTTGATGAAACTAAACTATTTTATAAATCAAAACGTATAAAATTTTCAATTTAAAATCAATAGAAATCGTTGTATGTGATCGCACTATTGTAGTAATGTAGTATTGTATTGTAGGTGATTAGTTTGGTTCACGAGCTATAATAATACCGACGACTTAGTGATCATAATTTTTCAGAAGATACAGCGTATAAGATAATAGGTACACAATGACAGTTGTAGATTATTAATCACCAAGAGAAGTCTGTCTTGTGAAACCGAAAATTCAACTCTTTTTCCTTGTTAGAACCGGTTTTATATGAATTCAGGGACTACGTGGCTTATAATATATGAAAAAAAAGGATACAAAATATTTTATTTTATCTGATTATTTTCATAAATGACTTATCACAAAAAAATACATTATTATTTGGTAAGAATAATAATTTTATAATATTGATATTTATGTTTTTGAGTTCTATATACTATAATACCCTAAGGGATGTCTTTAAAAAGATATTACACTGTGGATTGTATTGTATATCATCGATTACGCTCATCATACTCATATAGGCATAGGTTCAATTAGACTACCAACCTTGGCAGTGCTAAAATTATAGACACATCATAGACCCATAGTGACAGTACTCCCACAATCCCCTTTACACGATACTTATAATAAGCAACTACACTTTTTATTTACAATTTTTACATAAAAATGTATCATAACTTTTTTAGCTTTATATTTACAAATGCATTACCAGTAGATAATTTGTGTTTTGTTCTGCTAATTAATTATGAAATACATGGATAAAATATTTAGTTTATACTATAAAACAGCTTATTGGATATTTTTGTAGGAGTGCCAATTTTAAAATTAGGGGTGCTAAAAACCCTCTAGCGCCTCCCTAGTTGTGCCTATGCTGATATAGGTATACCAATGTATTTTAGATAGAAAGTTAGGAAGGTAAAATATATAGGATAATATATAGGATAATTTAATTTATACCTGGACACTAAGATAAATCGTTGCTAACAAAAAACATTTCTGAGTAAAGTTCAGTTAATTGTGTTTTGATAAACCTCAATTGGACATATAAATAGTTCATCTTGATTTGTTAACCATTTTTATTATAGAACCAAAAATATTGTACCCACAATTCCTCATAAATCGAAAAATAAGACACCGAATGTCATGATTTTTACGATTTTAATCAAATTTTAAACTTTAAACGCTTATTACAAAAAAATCAAGACTTAGAATTTTCGAAATTTGTATAGTGATAAAAGATTAACTTATAATAAACCTTGTATTAAAATTTTGTTGTTAATTTCTGAAGTTAAAACAATTTTATACACATAAAATCAAATAAAAACAAAAACTAGATAATGTCAAGTGTCTAAAATAAATCAAAATATTTTGAAAATGTTACCATGGTTAGAAAAGACTGAATATAAATGTTATTTTCTTCTGAAGTACAATAAACAAATAAAATCGAAAATAACAGAAACCGCTATTGCTTGCACAGTTATACTTTTATTATTAAGAAAACTAGAAGGAAAATAAAAAATTGACCATTTCGTTGCACCTACAAGATCGAATTTACTACCAGGAAACACCCATAAAGTTAATGATCGGTGCAAGATTTTTAGTAAAATTTTGTTTACAGATACAACAAAAATAGTATATTTTAACTCGCTGTGCTCGGAATTCAAAATGTTATTTAGGTATTTATTTGTATAACATAGCTCTCAGTAACCACACCATACCGATGTTATAATAATAGTATAATAACTAATTACATTTGAAATACTCGTGTTTACAAAAATATATAAATAATAACTATTATCCACGTACAGTTTAAGAGGTATTTAAAAAAATTAACAAAACGACTTCAATTTTGTATTTTTGTCTATTGCACAGTCGGTCAAACACGGTGTTTTATTTATTAAAAAGTGAAAGACAAATTATGACCACGCGTCTTGAATGAATTTGTATACATAAGTACTTGCAGTAGACCATATACATTATACCTAGATAATTTATAATTAATATACTTTCATAATTTTGAAAAATTAAAGCGAAATCTATACAAAAAAACTCATACATACTCAAAAAATAAATATGTTTCTGAAATGGATAGTTCAGAAATGATTATGTAAATATATGATTTTGGCTTTTTAATAAATCGAATATTAATAATATCTACCTCCCTACGTTATACTCATTATCGATTAGATGATATTATAATAGTTTCATAAATCCTAATAATTTTAACAATTGCGTTAATTCAGTAACGTTATTTTTGATTTTTAATCAAAACACTGGTACCTATTTGTTAACCAATGAACATATCACTGTTATTATTCATATGATCATACAAAATTTATGAAATTTATAAATAATGAATTAAACTACTCAAAAGCAATTACGTATGCACTAGCATCATTCATATTTTAATAATAAATATATATATATATCTATAAGAATTAATTTATTACCTATCTTAACTCCTCCTCCCAGCCGGAAATATGTAAAAAGTATTTTTTCAAATTTTTTTCTGGACAATAAACGAATTAATTATGATGCATCATCGTATACACAATAATACGATTAGTCTTACGATGATGTCTAAATTTATTTTTTAAAAAATTACTTAATCGAGATAATTAAACGATCAGTATATTATATTAATATTATTATTTTATTGTTTATGTTATAAAATATAAATAATAATAAAAAAAAAATCCATTTCAAAAAATATTACGATAATATTTAACATTTTTTAGCTTTTTGTCTACTTCTTCTTTTATACCTACTAACAAACTGGGAATTGGAACCGGAAGTAAACGGAATATAACATTCATATATGCTCATATATATGGCGTATCGTGTCTTGGATCTGTATGTGTATGTTCCATTAAAACCTGCAGCAGATAGAACCGGTCACTGTGTTACATGAACCGGTCGACGACGGCCGCCGGTGTGCCTCTAATTTTTCGTGATCGAAAATATATTGTAAAATATTTTTAACGTCAATAAAATTGATTATGCCCCCAATTATACTATATTATTTATTATCTATCCGTTATCAATTATATTATCTTTGTTTTAACGAATATAATATCGATTTAATTTTACATTACCGATACGAGTGGTTCTAAAGAAAAACTCCTCGGTTTAAATTTAAATATTATTAACACTAAAACAATATAATTAAAGTTTGTTTAAATTATATTTGTGAAAAAATCGATTTTCTACCAAATATTATGAATATTTTTTATTTACTACATTGTCTCTAATAAACATATTATTATAACCTATAATAGTTTAATAGCCAATAGGCAATAGTTTACATCACAATTAATAAATCACAATATAAATACTGAAATTTTTATAACACCTATATAACACCCATATATACGTATATATGTGTACATTTTATTAAACATATGACTAAATAACATTAACTCGGTTAAATTGAGACAATTGAACAAATTAACGAGTTAACACGTTTTTATTTAATTTTTTTAATAATAAATTAAATTGAATTAAAAGTCAATTTAAACATTATCAATTAGTTAATTAAATTACTAATTTGTTATTATCATAGTGAAAATTATTAAACTTGGAGTTCGTATTTTTTTGAAAATTAGGATGATCAATGTTAAACACAGGGAAAGGAATTTATTCTGGGGATATAAAAGTATACTTAATATACTAATTTTAAAAATGGAAACAGTGTTTACAGATTGTAAATCGTATATTGTATTAAAGTTATAGAACGAATTGAAATTAACTTAACGTTATCATAATATTCAAAATTAACTGGTTATTGATGTAAAAACAAAAAATTAAAAACTCAAACGTGAAATTTAAGTTAAATAATTTAAACTTTTTAACTTGTTATGACAGTTTTTCGTTTAAAAATAATGTACCCAGTATTTGTAATTAACGCATAATGACTTATCTTACGGGTACTTACTTTTTTCGAGTTTTGAATCTTTTTGTTTGTCCCATTCGTCGTGTTTAAGCTCATCTGCGGCGTCCTAGTTGATTTACCCGTAACCCCAATGCCGTTTTTGACATTTTGATTGCCGGTGAATTTCATCTTGAGTTCTGCAACGCTCTCGGTTTTCCGTATATTATATGGCCACATCCTGCTATTAACGTGCCTACAACAACAACGATATTATAGTTAGTGTTAACACTTCAGTTTGACGCATATCAAAAATCCAGCTATTGTGCGGGATTTAAATCGTATAATATTACAGTTGACATCCGTCACTAGAAATAATAATAATAATAAAATATTAGGTCTATTGAACCAGAAACATCCGTCAGGCCGTCAGACCTTCGGGTCTTTAACCGGAAATTCAAGGATTTCGAAGAAGTATATATTATAAAATCTGGTGAACCAATAATATTATTACTTTTTGTTATTATTATTATTTTTTTTTTACAGATTTAGTGTTTCACTTGCTTATGGGTAGCCAACTGCAGAGTAGGTACGTATAATATACCGCCCCGCGTGCTTTGTGTGTATATAATTTAAAAATGATTAGTGAACCGTGAAGAATACACGTTTCATCGACTGTTCAGAAGAACAGGAAAAAAAAATCAAATGCACGAAAACCTCCAGGCGGTTAGGAAATCAAAAATAAAATATATCGGTTGACCAAAGCGATAGATATATCGATGTAATCTTTGCAGGATGTGCAATTGGAATCGTATATTAAAGTTTTGAGTTAAAATAAATAAACAACGAAACAACAAGTAATTTTTTAAGCTGTTGCTAATGATACAATAGTACGTACCTAATGGGCACCACTACATATATATTATGATAAAAAAAAATTTGCAGAAGAATATTTACAGCTACGCGTTCTTTATATATGACTATATTATTTTTTTAAATCAAAAATCGATTTTTCAATAAAATAAAATAGTTATATTATAATAATAATTCATTTCACGAGAATATTATTATTTTTAATTTAGTCTTATATTTGTTTTATTATATACATCAAGTCGAAGAGAATGTACTGTAAGGACAAAATGCACTTTTAGCCTTTAGGTATATTATAATTCACGGTTTGTATTGATTTTACTTGTAAAAACAACGTCCAGATAACGAAAACACATTATAATTCGTTATTAATATATTGAAAATCAATACGGAATTCGTTTCAAAGAAAGCTCCGAAAGAATAAAGATTCCGAACAAAACTATACTATTATTGTTCCGCCAAACACTTTTTCAATTAATAAAAATGCTCCAAAACTTTCGCTCCGCGTTTTTGTGACGATAACTTTGTTCGAATCATATCTTTTTAAGATTTCCAACAAAAGTTTTCCTATAGACAATTTGAAAAACCGACCGCAAATATATCACCGCGGTTTTTCGGACAAAATTGATAGCGCGTATTGTAAAAATATCGACAACTTGTATACGCCGCAAATAAATATAAATATTACAATGTAAACTGTCTTGAACTCTCGCGATGCGTCTGTGATGAAAGTAAAATAATCGGCGTAACAGTTGTGTTGTCGAACGATCGATTAAAAAAAAATAATAAATAAACAATATTTTTATGGTTATTACGAAACCGTACATGAAAAATGTAAAACTAAAAAAAAAAAATAAACGCAAAAATAGTAGTCCTTTATTATTATTTTGTCAAGGAAAATGACATAATGACCGCCGCCTCGGCCGACACGAATTCGCCGCACATACGCGTATTTTACAGGTTTCAAAAAGTAATAAAATAAATATAAACTCGATGTGTGTGTGTGTGTGAGTAAATCGTTGGTAAATTGATCGTATTTTATGACGATGACAACGGCTGGCGAACGGTAATCGTCGTCGTCGGTGGCGCACGCCACAAGGACATAAACTACATAAGATATCGGCGGCGCGGGCAGAAAACAACACCCGTCTTGGCCGACGAAGTCCGTATACCGACCAACTATAATTTACAGAATGATTTTTTTTTTTTTTTTAAGCATGCCCCACATTTACGGTTAAATTACGCATATCATATATTCAAATTTTGGTTTTTAAAATGTTTAAGTGTACATAATGTAGTTAGGTATATTAAAAAGGATAAAATACTTATATTTTCCACAACGTTTAAGGACGTTTATCCTATGGCGATACCGATTTCTGTTTTTCAAATAAGAACCCATAATATTATATGTTTAATACAAATTTTTGGCCAAATAATTTTTTTGAAAATTTCGAAATTTGTAAGGAAAATTTGTTTCTGCAGAGTTATTCTACTGTAAATAATTTATAGATACTAAATAGTCTTCACTGCTGAACGTAAATTTGTTACGTCATAAAGACAGAAACATCATATGCGGATAATATGATGAACTCACGGTTTTCCTTTTTTAAGGAAGCAATCTCTAAACAGCCGGCGAATCAAATTTTAAATTAAGAGCTACAGACGAGGGAAAATTGGATGTGCGATAGAATGGTCCTATAGTGACCTCGAGCAGAGGAAAATATTTGGAAAATCCTACACTATTATTGATTTTCGAATAGCAACTCAGTAATATGTTTTTAAATAAATTACACAGATTCAAAAAGAGTATATATTTTCCTGAAACATTTCGATACGCATAACTGCAACTTAGTACACGCCCTTTCTGAGTAATAAAAGTTCGCCATTTATAGGCTAAACGATATTATCTATTCGAATCATATTTAAAAAAAAAAAAACGTGAGTAGCTAACCTGACCTTGTAGACTATCTACTTGTATTTTCCTGAAATGATTTTGAATAAATTAGAAACCGACAATTTTTACACCGTTATTGACTTTAAAACGCTGACAATCAAATTTTACTGCTTACTATGTATCATAAAATACTCGTATAATCAATACAAATAAAGCCGTTACACAAAATACCGAACACAAAATCGAATTTACTCGAAATCGTCATACAGGTATAGTTTATAATAATAATAACAATATTGATAAAATAATCGCCCTGTGTGCAGTTTAGGTACGTACATGACCATCATTATAATTATTTCTATTATTTTTATTATTGTATTACTAAAAGGCGGCCGTCGTCGTCGTTTTCATTGCGTTAAATTGACCGGAGCTGTTCGGCGATGGACAAGACATTAATGTCTCCGCCGCCGCCACTCGTCCGAAATAAAACAGTCATTATATTATTATTATTATTATTATCATTATTATTATCATTATTATTATTATTATGTTCCATCCTTTCTTTCACACAATATTATCGACGGCGTACCACCTGCGAACCGTTTACTTCGGTGCGGTACCCTATATAATATAATATACGATGTCGGTGTAGTTTTTTTTTCATCGTCTTCTTCTTTCGTATGATATACACCTTTATAACATATACTTACATAATATAATACGTATATAGCACCGCAGAGAAATATTATAGAAAAATATCGCACCGGACCATATAGACATTTCGGAGCATTAACGCGCGCATTCCTTTGAGGTTTTAAAATCGTGATCCCTCCCCAATAATGATTTCGGTTTTTTTTTTCTTTTCTTTTTTTTTTTTTGTCACCAGCCGCCCTCCCACGTCGGCAGCAACTTGTATACATCTATAGAGCAAGTTATATAAATAATAATATGCGTCTCCACGTATATAATAATAATAATAATAATAATGACTACGGCATCAGTACTGCAGTATATTATAATAATATATGTACGTAAAAAGTAATAATAATATAATATACCGTGCGGTCGGCACTTATAATATTATTATTATTATTTCTGCCAGCAGTCACAGTGTATGTCTATATTAATTTTCCAATAAAGTTAGACCCCCCGTTAATATTACCATCGTACACACGCTGTAAATTAAGCAGTCTTATTGTTTTTTGTTCATGTTTTGTATTCACCCGCTAAACTATTAAAACGAACAATCGAATGTCATCTGTACATTATATGACTTGTTTAGAGGATGTGATTAGACAGTCCCTCAAAAAATCTAGTTTTATCATGCAGCAATACTAGTATATATAATCTGGTACACCGAAGGCTCCAGGAGAATTTCGTTTTAAGGGGCCCTATAGATGAAAAATATAAATGGAAATCAATGTGATATTGAATCGGCAATCGGTGTTATTGGTCGATCATATTTCTAAAAATAACAATGGATTTCGCTGCGACATAATATATATACAGTATAAACAAGTTATATTCACAAAAGTGATGTCCAATGACATTTCAGTTTTCAAATAAATATTATTATATTTTACTATTTTACTACAGTCTGCAATAGTCAATCAAAATTTAAACAAATACTATGTTTATTTTAGTCCCTACAAAAAAGATAGTCGGCAGTTAAATAATTAATAATTATGATATTTTATAAATCTTGGGGCCTGGGAGGCCACAGGACGGTATTAAGAACGAAAGTCCCTTTCGCGGCCTAGCAACCATGGTTAGGCTGACACTGTTAGTAGTAACCTGCTCGGAGATATTTGGATTTATAAAGCTGCCGGTTTCATATTGTGCGACTCGAACGCGCGAACGAAACAAACGGAGAAACGCATGCCATTCGATCGCATCCTCGCACTCATCAGACTTGCACGTGACGTATTCAAATAAACAGTTATAAACAATTATAATAAAACTCTGAATGATAAATCCCGGGAACTGGCGCTTGTTCACGTGCGTTCGAATCGCACAATGTCTGTGACACTATAAACACGTACTGTTAAATTTTATTTACTGACGCGTTTCGATCACACACAATCAAACCGAATGTGTTTCGTGCTTCTAAATCAATACTTTCTGTATAATGTAAAAGCCTACGTTTAAACGCGGCGATTTAATTTCGGACTACGTTCGTGCGTCAAAAATAGGTTTAGGGACTTCTAGCTCTAGAAAACATGCGAATATGCTTACAAATATGCTTTAAAAATTATACCCAAACATACACTGAAATATAGTCTAAAAATTGTTTTATTGAAATTGTATGTCTTCCTAAAAACTTGACGTATAAATAATTTATTGTTATTATTATTTTTTATTATTGATGATATTTACGTAAAACCTTTGTGTTTTGTAATAAATAATTTGAGAGTTATTGATCAAACTCAATGTTAACTAAATTAACTATTTTACCACTGTCAATTCGATTATACTATCGCCATCGGTGTGTATAAATTTGAACAATGTAAATTGAATAAAAACCTTATATTGTAATAAAATAAGGTAAGATACGAGAGCATGTCCATGTATAAAACTTACATATAAAAGCTACATACAGCTAAAATACGAAAATATATGCATAATTCTATTTAGGCTTTAGATTCCTTACATGGTGAACATTTGACTTTGCTACATTTTTAATCTTTAAAAAGTAATACGCAAAAGCTTAAAGTCACTAGCCCTAATCATAAACGTCCGTGTGTCCACGCGCGTTCGAACAGTTTAGTGTGAAACCGACTTAAGAAAACGCTGAAAGAGTATAGATAAGATAACTATAGATTTGACGACATTATAACATAGTTCGGTTGTGAATTGCACATTTATATACTGCGTTATTCGGAAAAATTACTCAGCTGACAGTGATTTTTATCACCGGATTTCTGTGCTATACGTTACTGATAAAGGCACTGCCAGTGACGGAACAGCTGCGCACCACCAAGTTGTTATTATACCAGATAGCTATAAGTTATTTATAGCCGAAACGCTTTTTCAATTAGTTAAAATATTTCAAAACTTTCCGTGGTGTACTGTTAAATATGTGGGAATTTCTCACTCGGCGATCTACATAGATGCTAAAAAAAAATACGTTGTTTAAAAACTAACCACAAATATACTGGTTTCCGGACATAATCTATACAATTTAATCGCTTTTCACGTTTCGTGTTTCTGTTCAATTCATTTTTTTTTTTTTTTTAACAACATAATTCGAATAATCTTATTTGTTTTTTGTTTAAGAAACTTTGATCAATACAATTAACACAATAATTTACTGCAATCCAAGTCATCAGACCGAAATATTTAGTGCTACATGGAAACGCAAAAAACACTGCATATAGCACGTAAAGATCTGAAATCATATATTATAACGATTAACGGCTAGGAGAACGTCAAGTTTTTTCGCTAAATATCGTGGGAAAACAGCTGCAGAGCTCTCATCCCTCCGGTTAAAAATTGAAATTTCGGTCATGAATATCCTATTATATTAGTATATATTTAAACTTTATCACCGTCTTCGCGTGCGAACTGGGCGGAAATCAAGTGGCTAAATGCTGAATCGGGAATTCGTGCCAATTTACGGATTTGTACTACCTAACTACTTATACTGTTATAATTATATATTATATAGTCTTACACAATTCACACGTATAAACGGTAAATTTAAACACCTTTTATATTTTATTAAGAAAAATTGCATTTTACCTACTTTACGTAATACGCATAATCGTACGTATCACTTTCAATTAACTACTTTTGCGAAAAAACAAATTTCCCATTTATAAAAACCGATATTTTAAACACATTTATGTTCACGATCTGCAGTAATATATTGTTATATTGCAATATATGTTTAATATAATAACAATAATAATATAACTGGTTCAATTATTATTATTACGTATTTGCGTGTGTATATAATATTATATACATATGTGGAAAACGGAATAAAAAAAATTATTGAATATGACTATAGTTACCTGCAGGTAAATAATCCTGTTATTACTTATGGCTATAATAATATATTATTAAAAAATATTCTTTTAATTTATACGAATAACTAACCGTACCTATAAACGCAGTTATGAACTATACAATTTTTTTTTTCATTTAAACAAAATGTATTGTAAAAAGTTGATATTGCTCACGGGTAGGCCACTGTTGTAGGTGGGTAGTTGGAAAGGTATGGTATACAGAATAATTGAGTTTATATACTATAGTGCAACGATAAATCATCGAAAACGAAAGAAACGATCCTTAGTGGAGTAGTCAGGGACGGATCCAAGGGGGGGAGCCTAGGGGCCTAGGGCCCCCAGACATATTATTTCTCCTATTTTTTTTTTTTTTATAATTCTATAGATCCTGATTTTACTATATTCCAATCACTGATGTGTATGAGAAAATAATATACATAATGTAGTATATTATATTTTAATTGTATTTGTGTTGTAACCCCCCCACCCTAGTTCTTTGCTCTAGATCCGTGCCTAGGAGTAGTGTTAGTCATAGTTTTTCACTTGATGCCACGGTAACTGCTTAAAATTCCGAAGAATTATTCAAACATAGAACCTACTATCGGAAAATAACTCTACATCTTTTAAAGGACCTATAATAAACATGAAAAAAAGAGCATTTTTACAAAAGCGCTTTCTGAGAAAAAACACATCTTTGTAGTACCACAAAGCGCGAAAAAATATTACAATTGAAAGAAAATATTTTTAATTGTTTAAAATATTTAAAGTTCATAAATTAAAATTTACGGTCACATTATTGATGTATAAAATCAATTTAAAAATTAAAAAACAACTTTAAGTAAAAGAAAATATTTGATGAGAAAATTAATGGTTCGTAATAAAAAAAAAAAAAACATCTTATTCTATAAAACTTTCAATCGTTCTCCGGCAAAGGGTTTAGCATTAAAATAATGATTTTTGACCATCACTAAAATGCATTAATAAAATATCATTACGTTTGCAAAAAAATTTAGGTTCTCGTATATTTTTAAAAGTTTACTCCTTCCACTCGAAGACGCCTGAAAATTTAAAGACCACATATAATTTTAGATTTATTTAATACAACTTTTCTTACATTATACGTTTTTTTCTCTATTTTGCATACATAAATATGTGAAAAATTTCTGTCACATAAAATTATGATCCTGTATAGATAAATATTTATCGTACGGATATATTATATTAATATACTTCATTTAGCTTTAAAACATAAATTATAATAAATTGCAGATAAAAATCTAAATATATTTTTTATTATAGTTCTAATATACGAATAAACATGTGAAATGATGAACAGTAATAATAATGCTTAAGTTACGAGTTGAGTTATAGCTGGTACCTATAGATGATGTTGGGTAATATTATAATTTAAGAAATACTGGAAATCGAAGGAATACTGTCATCCGGTAACTTACATGATATAATATTTTAGAACATACAATATATTTTGAATTTGTTCAATATTAATTATGTAATAGAAACATTTATATTATAATACGTTATGTTAAACAGAAACGTTATTTTTAAATCAGGTTATACCGGGAAAACATAATAATATAAATAATATATTATATTAGGTTTTATTTTTTAAGGAATATTCATACAACCGTACGCAGAAATTAATATTTATTTAAAGTTTTAGTGAGTGTTTTATTGTTTTTTTTTTTTTTTTTTTTTTTTTTTTATTATTATTATTATTATTATTGTTATTTAACGTTATTTATATTACTTTCGTCTTTCACCATTATAATATTATAATGGTAAAATATCTCTATGAATAATTGATATATATAAAATATAAGTATATATAAATCATCCTTAATTATTGCATTATTATTATTTCAGTAAAAAAAAAAAAAAAAAAAAATGGTCTAATGCTTTATTATAAAATTTAAAAAGAAAAAACTAGCACGATGAGTCATAATAATCTTAATGATGGAAAAATTTTTTTTTACGGAGAAAACTTGGATGGGCTAATTTTAGGAAGCCAGTAGGTATAGTATAGTTATTTTAAAACAGCGATACGTGAAAAAATCACGATTTTGAATAGTTAGAAAAACTGATAATGTTTGCAGTCCATGTTATGCTATCACCTATACCTATAACTAACTAAAAATCGTTCAATTCGTTTTTCAAAGTATTTTCTACGATAGTTATAACATCAAGCATATTAAAAGAAGTTGCAAAGAGAAAACTTACATTGCCCGGACATACTTGGAGAAAATTTAACTCGATGATAAAAGCGGTGATTAAGGATGATCCGATAAGAAAAAGAAAACTAGGTATAGATCTCGCCTTAAATCGAAAGACTGTGTGAAGACAAACGTTAAAGTAGTAGACCCGAGAGCCAACTGATGAAGGAAGGTAGCAGAAGACAGAGAATAATGGCGAACAATTAGTTTTTCGGGATGGTCTTAAAAGCCGGATAACCCTGAAATAATGTTCTATTAAACCACAATATTTAATTTTCTCATCGAAATTGCGGTTTACAAAATACCTAAGACGCAAACGGTTTTCAGACTACAAAACAAATAAGGTACTTGTTATTACAATTTCACATTTTTAACCGTTTAAGAAACATTTTAGAGTTTTCTCCGAGCGCCAACGACCATATTATGTTTAATACGCCAGTTCTCGTTCGATCACTGAAGTTAAGCAACGTCGGACGTAGTTAGTACTTGGATAGGGGTGACCACTTGAGAACACTACGTGCTGTTGACTTTTGTTTTCACTCCTTTTTTTAACCGTAAAAACTTTAAATTTTTTTTTTAGCCAGCATAATTAATGTTAAAATATATATTTATGGCGTACAATCATTATTTTAATTCATTCTTGATATTTATGAGTAAAAAAAAAATACGTAAGTATATTAACAAATTATACAAGAACAATGAACATTGATTTTTACATTATTAAAATTCGTCCATTAATTTTTCAATCATACAAACCGCTTTCAAAATATCAAAACAAATTATTATTTTAGTTAATATAAATAGGCATATATATTATATACAGTTTTAACATTGCTTTAAAACCAATTTCTATAAGTTTCCAAAATGCCCAAGTACCGTCAAATCTAATATATCAGACACACATATATATATATATATATATATATATACAATATACATACAGGGTATTTAAAAAACTATGTAATAACTGAATGCTAATAACTCACTATATATTCCTTTTTTTTTTCTAAATCAGGTTTTGTGTCAAGAGGACACAAAACCTTAACAAAAATTTAATTTTTTCTTTTCTTCTCTTAATCACTTAAAAAAAACGTTCATTTTTTCACTTTTTAAAATTTTCAAAATAAAGCCAATTTGTAAAACAAAAATATTATTCTAAACATTTTAATGTACTATACTTATATATTCGATCAATTGTTTGTTAGTAATATAGCCGTTTTAATTTCTAGAAAATTGATATAAAAACAATTAATTTTCAATAGAATAACACGTTACGCAATAAGGAATCACAATTAGTATGGTAATTCCTTATCGTCGACAAAGTTATTAGCAATTGGATAACAATGTAGGACACTCTATACCGAGTGATCCATTTGATTGGGTATACTCATTGTCTCGGAAAGTATTAACTTTTTCCGGAATTTGTTTTCTAACAAATTTAAAAAACAAGCTACTTTACAGTTTTACATAAATTTCAATACTCAAATTTATTTTAAATAATACTCCATCTATTTATGGAATTTTTATATAATAGATTGTCATTTAAAAATCAAAAGTAAGTAGTGTTTTTACTCCCTAAAAATAAGGGTGACAAAAATAACATAAATATAAAACTGTAAAGTAGCTTGTTTCTTAAATTTTTTAGAAAACAAATTCCGGAAAAAGTTAATAGTTTTCGAGATAATGACTATACCCACTTAAATAGATCATCCGGTATACATATAAATGTTATTATAGTCATAAGACATAAGTCATAACCATGAACACGATAGATTAAAGACATCGAACACAAGCGGTCAGCTAGGAAAAAAGTGAGATCAAATAGGTCGGCAGAACAGTCGCAATATTATTTTTACACGGCCAGCGTAGGAGATTCGTTCCTTTTTTTTTTCTTTTTTTGCCAAAAAAGTAAAACTTATGAATAATTACTACTTAACATTATTTAAAGAGGTTTTTTTTTCAAATAATATGGATGAAGTTCAAATTTTTGTGGTGTCCAAGAGCAGAATTCGAGAAATAACCGGAAAAAATAATTATTTTTATCCAACGCTGGACAAGTTAGTCATATTTTGTTTTAACTAGATTAATATATGTTACTTTAATATAAAAAACAATAACGTTAAAATAGGAGTTAGTCTCTAAATGTCCAATGATTTTATATAACATAATATAGTTCCTTTAAAATAGTAAATTAGGCAACAACTTAAACAAATTATTTTTATTTAATAATATGATTTTTTTTTTTAATTTATTGATGAATTGTACTTTTAAAGTAATTATTAAAATACTACCTATACAATAGGACATACCAACTTATATTTCAAATATCACTCATTGTACCTACAATGTCATATAAAATTAACGTACAAATAGGTATATAATGAATTCACATTTTAATTTTATTTATTTATTTTACACTATTTCTTTAAATAATTTACCAATCGCAAATATAATATTAATAAACAATATAAAGTAATGCCATATATTAAAATATTATTTTAAAACACATATGTTTAAAAGTTAAAAGTGTGGAATTCAGCCACTGAGTGTCATATGACAATCGATATTGTTGGTAGTTGGTATAATAATAGTAGTATTAGTTATATTTACTATTTACATTATAGGAACACAATTATTAGAGTATGGAAAATAAATAGCTGAATGAGGCCAATTATTATTTAACTAATTGTGTATTTCCCACGAAATGAAAAAAAGACAAATGTAAAACAGGTGTGACGCTGCGCCAGAAGTTTTCCGATTTTAACAGTATACATCGTGTGAAACATTAACGGTAAAATGTTTAACCAAAAAAGTGTTTACGAGGAAAAAAGCAAAATTAGGCGGGAGCATTGTTTGGAATTTCAAAAATACGTCAATTCTGAAATGCAAAAATTCTATCAGACCAATAGTCCTCTTCTACGTGAAACATTAGGAGCATTTTTTATAATCGAAAAAGTATTTTCAAACAATAAATAGAATAAGTGCTTAGAATTTCAAAAAATGTTTTAAATAAAATAAACAAAATTACCAAATATTTTAAGATGTACTGTATGAAATATTTAATGCAATGAATGAAGCCAATCAAATTTATTTCTAACCGATGATGTTCCATAGATAAAAAAATACATCTTAGTAAAACTAATAGCTTTTTCGTAACACTTAGAATGATAAAAAACAATTTAAAACACAATCATGTTGGAAAAATATATCCGCACATATGGCTATTTAGTATATTTTTTTTTATAGTACGGGCATGTGTGTAGGTCAACGAAACTTGAGCCAGCCTACATCGGTGTCTATTTTTGTTTCTTTGACTATAAATGTGTGTTGTTTAATAATCATGTTTATCACTGAATAACTAATAATATTAAATAATAAAATATTTTGACGGACCACTAAAAAAGTCGAAAAAACATTCAACGTGATACCTACTTATTTATGCAACAATAATTCGACAACGTGACATTATATTAGCTTATAGAGTTTCTTTGTAGGTAGTGTTTTATACAACAATAATAATTATTATTGTAAACGTCAATAAATTATTATTACCACAACAATTTCAATTAAAACAGGAAAGTCGACGGCTTCCATACTCCAGCAACAAGGGAGACTGTGATATAAACGTTTTTTTATGTCTATTTATAATAACATGACGTTATCGCGGTATTTTCATGAATGAAATTATTGAACGAGGTATAATATAATACAAACATGAACTATGAACAGCGTGCAAAACTTGTGCAATTATTTTAACGTTACATAATAAAATAATAGTAATTCCAATTATATTGCTATCAGTTATTAAATTCGGTTTTTCTAGGGTATTTAGGGCGACCGAATTTAATAATTTCGTAAGATTTTAAATTTTATTATGTTATTATTAAATTATACGTATAAGTTAAACAGGAACACCCAAATTTTAAATTTAATTTTACTCCTTTTAAACATTAAAAAAATCAGTTTGCTTCTAATTCTTATCAAAAACAAAAAATGATCTAATAACCGTGCTTATCATCGAATATTTCGAATACCTTTGTTTATAATTTTCAGTTTTTCCACAATACGATAAGCTGCACCATACAAAATCTAACAAGATACAAATGACGAAACACTTTAACAATGTTCAATTTATGACAATAAATACAATTAGTCTAGCTTTAAACTGTATAAACCCTGAACAGTAATCTATTCCTATTAAAAATTATTGGCGTCGTTTAAAAGTTTAATAAAACGAACATTCTCAATTCCTATTATTTAAAGCTGTCACGTAACTTTGTAAGGTAGACAATATTATTTAAGGTCACACGAGTCAGATATATCCGTAATTTAATTTACAACACGAGAATATATAATTCGCATTCTTAAAATAATTTTAAGGGAAGTTATAGAGGTCTGAAAAATTTAACTGCGGTGTAGTTGTACATAATATAATGAATATTAATAATAACATTATTAGAATTCACATAATATTAATAAATTACGTATAACATATACATCAAGTCCATTATTTATATTAAATAGATTTGATCGTTAAGTTATGAATTATATATGAAAGGGTAATAATTAATAATTTCACTAATTAGAAATGATAACGCTGTGTTTCACATTGATGATTTACGTTTCGTCAGAAATATAATACAAATTTCTAGGTAACTTGATGAATCATCAATGATAATAACTATTTTTATCGTATATACCTAACATGTTAAACTAATATAATATGATTGGTATTATTCTCGAGTACTCATGTTCAAAGTAGCTAAATGAAATTGTTATAGGTACAAATTGGATAAAAAAAAAAAAACGGAGGACAATAACCGAATTAAGGAAAGAAGGAATAAATGGATTATAGACAATAATCGAAAAAAACTACAAAGAAAAACTGGAATAAGTTGTAAGTATATTGTATAATATACCTAAAATCATGGGTATAAATAGTTAGGGCTAAGCTCTTTCAAAACTCATTTGAGTTTCCCACCCAAATCGAAATTCTCGTCAAGTAAACAGTAAATATACATAATTGATAATTTTGGGTGTACTACGGGAATTGACGTTTGCCAGTTAGTTATTACCGTGATGGACAAAGATCGAAAAGAGCGTTGGAGGGCCGATCATATTTATATCGAAGAAGAAAAAGAAGAACGAATGACAGGAGAATGTTACAGGATATGTTACAATATATATCGGCTATAATGTGATATACATATATATGTATATAAGACCGCGTGTTACGAATTGTATACGCGAAACAGTAGATAATAGTGTCGACGGTTCGTTATGAAACGGGTCTTCGGATGTGGGGCGGGGGGTTCGTTGCCGATGGTCTGCACATATCAGTACCCGTATTAGTGAAATCCGCCGCGTAAAAAAAAAAAAAAACCCCGACCGTTTAATGTAGCGATTTGTTATTACAATGTATGTAGGTACCTGTGTTTCGCGACGTTACCGCATTCGCGTGCCATACAGACGGGAGATACGTGCCCGGGAAAACGTCGAGCCGGACGGACACCGCGACGGCACCACTTCGGACTCCGGTCTGGCCGGTCGGACGTCGGCGGTGGCCGGCGATTCGCGCCTCGCGTAATCGTCGTCGTCGTCGTCGTCGTCGTCAGTCGCCGTCGGTTTTTTTTTTTTTTTATTTTTATTTTTTTAATAACATTGTGTTATTATTTTTAACTCGCGGTACCGTCCGCCCGTACCGTTACAGTTACGCGGTGATGACGCTCGCGCACTATATTATATTGGACGATTATTATTATTATTATAATAATGAAAAAAAAATGTATAATATACGTAGATATACATACGCGTTCTAAACACTTATTATAATGATATTATAATATGCATAGATGCACGATATAAATATTTCGACGCGTCACGCGCGTGTCCGTGCACAGCTCCGGCACAGCCCGCTAAATACGCGCGTCTTATTATAATACACGTCGTCGTCGAGTGACGGTCAACCCAATGACCGCGGACGCCCGAGACGAGATGACCGTACAACAGTGTAATGTCGTATTAATATTATACACTGTAGGCCCGCGTACGTAGCGTAATAATATTTATCGCGGTAACGCCTCTAAAAGACGAGGGGAAAAAAAAAAAAAAAAACGAAGCCAAAACGGACGGATAAACTACTGGCGACAGACGAGACCGGAGACCGGACTGATGAAAAGTGCTCGGAAGATTGATGGTACACGGCCATGCAGGTATACGAAAACCGTTCCAGAATCATCGCGACGCGCCCCTCTTCCGCCCACTACTCGGCCGACGACGACGACGGCGGCGGCGGCGTGCCGTCCGATCCGATTGTGGCGGTGGTTCGCTCACCGACACCACCACCACCACCACCACCACCACCGCCGCCGCCGCTACGCGGGCACCACCGACGGCCGTCGTCATTCCTTACGATACATGCCACGGATACGGGTTTTTTCTCGGTTATTGTTATTGTTATTGTCGTTATTACCTCGAAACGCTCAGCGGCGCGCCGAACATTTTTTCGTTTTCTATACACGAGGCGAAAGAAATAATAAACACAATAATTAAGACCCGGCCGGTCCGAACACAGATATTTATACGTTCAATTATTCGTTTTAAAGCGAAAACCTTATTCAACCTATACTATCGTATTCCTGTATGTACGTATACTAATATAATATAATACGCACGACTAATGCCATTATCTCTGAACACCGAACCAGTTAATCTTATTGCTAACGTTCAACATGATATTTGGCCACAATCCCATAATAGGCAATGCCTAAAGCATAAAAAAAAAAAAAACAATACATATTTCAAAGAAGCCAATGTGGCAATGTCAAAAAATAACATAATTATTAAGAAATTACATTATTCGCAAATTGCTAAGTGTATTTATAAATGTGCTATTCGTTGTGATATCCATTTCCGTTTCTTGTAATTAGACCAATATGTGTGGACGGACTTGCGGACTGTACCGCACCGAATTTTTCAGAAATAAAAATCGAACCTAACTAGACCACTGCGAATACGAATTCCAAAAAATAAAATAAAGGAGTGAAAAATGGCAAAATGATTAAAAAAAAGTGCCAACAGTTTACTTTAGCCTTTCTTTCTTGGGCTAAAGAAATTTATGTATAACTATATAATATACAGAATAAACTATGTATAAGCAACTAAGCAAGTACGACAATGAAAAACTAGTTATATAAAATAAAAGGAAATATTAAAAAAGTGTTCGAATGTTACTATGTTGGTAAAAGTAATAGGTAATAAAGTAAAATACAAGTGACAATATTATTGATCTAAGTACTTATCTATACTATTACTTTTAAATTACTTGAGTTACTGAATATTACAAAAATTTGAAAAAAAAAAAACAAAAACAAAATTTATAAAAATAATTTATTATTCGTAACAAGATTTGTAGTATAACAAAAAATGTTAAGATAATTATTTTAAAACCAATCGTTTTGCTCATGGAATCTAAACAAAATTCTATTACTAGGTATAGTAGAACTTTACTATAATAATAAAATGACCTAAGTTACTTTTTTCTACGAATAACTACAGTAGTTTAACTATATACGGAGATAAGTAATTTTTTGTGTAATTGTTATAATTATTAAAATAAGGAAAGTAACTATGCAAATTCAATGTTAATTACTTAAATTGAGGTATATGTCCAGTTTTGATTTATGTGTGTGTGGGTGTGTGTATTGTTTGTACATGTATGCGATGTATAGACAAATCTATATGAGACGCAGAGATCCCAAATATATTAAACATAGGCAAACAGATGAAAATAATAATAATAATTTATTCAGCTCAAATCAACATAAGTAATACATAAATACAAAATAATTTAGTGATAATATGAACTGAGGCAAACAAATGTAAATAAATGTCTTTATGATAGACACTGAAATTAAATTTAAAAGAAATTCAAATTTTATCTGATGTGGTATTCACTGTTCATCATACTTGAATTGTGGGTTATTTTATTGATTTCTGGTTGCGTTGGTTTTACACGAAAAAAAACTAGTTTAATTATTAAATAGTAAAAAATTACTGTCCCTAATACTTGGTAATATACACAATATGATTATTATAATTTGGGGGGAAAACCGTAGGGGTTGGAAGCCGAGGACATATTGTATAAAATATTGATGTTTTTTTTTTTTTTTTTTTTTCGATAACTTAAATAACTATCCTGGACAATATTGCGGATATAATAAAAAATAAAATAACCACTCACTTCTGACATGGATTTCTGCGGAAGTCCGTAGAACCGTTTTATGGATAATTGTCGTTAATGATGAACGCGAATACTTCTGATGATGCTCTGTTTAAAAATAGTAATATTTCAATTTTATTTGCTGTAGTACAATGTATGTTATAATTAATAATAACACATTGCCGGTATAGACTATTTCGGTTGAAATGTTTGTATGGTGACAAATGGCAATGATGATAAAATGATAGGATACGTCGTAATAATACCTATACCTAATATATTGTGTTTAGGTATGATAAACGGATACCCACTGCGTTTGGACAGAGATGATTATTATTTATTAGTATAATAATCGCATTACCCTGTTGAAAACATTGAATACCGTTTCGATTCTGAATAATCTGAATATTCACACGTTATGACCTAATCGATAATATGATTAATTGAGTTAAGATATTCCGTTTTACCGATGGACGATACGTCTACCCATTCAAATTAAAATAATATCACTAATAAATAATAATGACAAATGGCGAAACGATATTGTTATAAATCAGTTGCATCGGCATTCATCATTATAATTTATTTATTAGACTTAGATAGGTACCTACCTACTTATATTGCTAATTAATATATATTAAGTGGACTTATATGTATATTTGTATTGTTATATAAATAATTATAATTAATTTAAATAATTAGATTATATCGACAAACACAAAATAAAAAAATATCCCACTTTTTATCTATACGATTGATTTAAATTCATAATCATTTTTATTTTTTTCCATTCAAAAAATAATATATATATATATATATTAATATATTTTGTATCATGGTACAAATGAAATGTTAATTTAATTGATGTTAATAATTAACATCAATTAATTATTACTGACTCATCAGTTGTATCCAGTGGCGTAGCCAGAGAGGGCACTGGGGCCATGGCCCTTTACGGACATTAGTTTTTATTTTTATTTTTGTCGTGCCTAACCGTTTAATGTGTATGTTACTTTATTATAGTGTATGTGATTTATTTTCATATTTTACTGACTAAGTAATTATAGTATATTTTTAAATGTAATAAAACGTGTAATTTTGGGTTTGTTTGTGTCTTTTTTTTCTGATCCGTTCCATTAAGAAATCCCGGCTACGACAATGGTTATATTATTTTATATTTTTAGATATATAAATTATTATTACTTGCCGCTTGGTAAGCAACAAATGTATACTAGGTACTTAAATTTACAAATATAGGCTCTATAATCTGTATGAAGTATGACTTTTAAATACTGACTAGAATATTATTTTTAAGCATATAATATATTACCTATCTGTATCAATCACTGTATTTTACCAATGATCAGTTGGACAGTTCTTTAAATTGATTTTAATGGCCGAGTAAAAAAGCAACTAGACTACTCCTCAAGTATGAGAAAAAATGTTCTGCTCCATATTGATGACGTCATATTGCTACGGTATATACGGTTAGTGCGATAGTGCGGTTTCTATGATGTCACTTATCACAATATTATGATAATACGTATAGCTGATAGGGAGTATTTATCAATATATCATTGATATTAGAATTTTAAAAATTAATTAGTTGCTCAATACTTTCTGGAAGTTCAATTTCAAAATATTGAGATAGGTACAATTATTTTCATTGACGATAGTGAATATAATTTTACAAACAATAATTTGTATCCAATTTCTTAGTATATATTATGTTACATGTACCTAGATACAGTTATTTCTGCTACAGAATCCATGCCAGTTCATCTTCACCCAGAGCTGTATTTTATTTGTTGGAAAAACATCAAGCAACAGGATAGTCATCAAAATTCCTTATGTATTATATTACGTTATGTGTTTAAACTACTCATTTAACCTGTGTTTACCTTCTATGCATATTTTCTTGTTTTCAAATTTCAATAATAATTCAGTTTGACATGTTGTCATTATTATCAAAAAAAAGTCATTTTCACTACTAATAATAAATTATAGTATTGGTCTTATGCATATTAAGGCTTTAAATATGTTAATTGATATAGATAATTTGGAAGACATGTTTAAACAACTGAGGTGTGAAGTATATGGAGGTGATTTAAAAACTGAATATAAATTTGATGGTAATGCGATTTTACTAACCTACTATGTTATTACAATTCTTGAATTATGTGTTATATGTAAGTTACAGTTCTTGATCAATAATGAAAATATGTCATGGTACATAGATTACTAGTATTCAAAGATCAATGTCATATGCGATAAAAGTCAAGATTAATTATTAATTTGGTCTTCTAGAATCTGAATTACCATCATCCAAAATGTTTTAATGACATCTAATGATCTAGATTGATGGTACATAAGTAACGTTTAAAATAAATATATTATTATTTTAAATAGATAGGTAGGATATTCAAAATAGAAAATAATAATAACAACTTTTTATTTAAATGATAAATTATATAAATTAAGTCTTAAATGGTTCTATCAATAAATGCCCCTCCCCTCTTTCGAGATATCTATAATTATTGTTATTTTTGTATACAGGTAATTTTATTTTTTTATTTTTTATTTTAGGCAACGAAACATTGGATTAACACAAAGATTGGCAAATTGATGCGACATTAGTTCAAAGTCTAAAACCAAATTGACATTCTTATATCATATTGAGTCAGTACTTACAAAAGGATATACATATTTATTTCATTAAATAAACTAATTCATTATTTAAAGTTTAGATGAAAATACTTATGACTTATGGAATCAAACTTTGAGTGTTTTTATCATAAAACAATAACCAACACATCTTCATCCACGAATAGCTAAAGAAGTATGTTAAATTAATTAAATACCTACATTTTATTTAATTTAAAATTATTTATAGATAGGTATTGGGTTTTAATTTGGGAAAGACTGATAATATTACTTATAATTGTCAATGTTTAAATTAAATGACTGCTAACAAATATCAACATATTATCAATTCAATTGAGACTAAAATTAATCAAGATAATGAAAATTGTATATATATATACAAGGTGATTTTTATATTGGTTTTAACTTTTTTGAGTTAAAAAAGTAAATTTGCTGTTGGCTATTAATACTGTTTAGAATAACAATAAAATAAATAGGTAGGCATATATGAAAAAAAATTAACCTAAAGTATTATTGTGAGTTGGGTGTATATATAATTGGTTTTAATTTAAAAAGCTTGCTACTGACTATAAAAGCATATAATATATTATTTACCACTCATTACAGAGAGAGTAAAACCCCTTTTAATAAAAAATATTCTAAAACGAAGTTAATTTAAGACATTTGATTTATTATCTATAATAATATATTATATTTAAAATCTGCCTATATATTAAGCGCTATTCTTACAGTATACTATAAAGTGTTAGCGTTAAACTGACAGCATTTTGCTGGTTTTTGACAAAAATAACCATCAATTAGTGTTATTAAACACTTAAAAGGCCATTGTTTTTAAAATTATTTTCTAATAGAATATGTTCTAAGTAAATTGCATTTTATTTTTTCCCGTTATATTTTACTATTACCTGATGCATACAACCAATTATAATACTCCAGGATAGGTTTTGTTTTTCTATAAGTGTCAATCCTCCTATCCGGCCTTCCCTACCCAAACTTTTTCATCATTCCACGGACAGGCTTAAATTTCATAATTTGGTAGATCAAAACGTAAAACTCCAAGTTAGTCTCAAATCTCCTCAAGAAATTGATACAGTTATTAACAACCTAACAAATATAATTCAATCTGCAGCATAAGCATCTGGTCCCACAAATACTCAGTTTTAAAACGTTGCTCCTTCAGTTCCTAAACATATACGTATCCTCATTTCCAACAAGCGTAAAGCAAGGGCCTTATATCAACGTTCATGCCTCCCATCACACAAACACATCTATAATAATCTTTTTNAAAATCTATCCATTACAAACTATCTCACTAATCTATCACCTAAAAATGGCAGTCTCTGGTCAGCTACTAAAAGACTTCTAAAATACAAACCGCCTCGTGTTCCCATACAAATTCCCAGGGCGGGTTCGCATCTACAGAAGCTGTAAAAGCCCAACTGTTTAAAGACCACCTAACGGAAATTTTCACTCCTCACACAGATATACATATACCTTTACATACTGACACAGTTAAACGTTTTCTGGACGTCCCCCTTCCGATGTTTCCCGCAGTTAAGCATTTCTCTCCCAGCAAAGTAAAATTAACAATCCAAAAATACAGCCTCAAAAAATCTCCGGGGTTTGATCTAATAACTGCAGATGTGGCCAGATGACTCCCTAAAAGAGCCATTGTCCTTCTCACAATTATATTCAATGCATGTTTAAGACTATCCTACTTCCCCTTGCTTTGGAAATTCTCTATCACTATCCTAGTTCCTAAAACAAATAAGCCTCCGGACTTATCCTCCTCCTTTCGACCAATAAACCTTCTCCCATTCTTCAGTAAAATTCTTGAAAGATTAATTCTTAAAAGAATTCTTCCATACATTACGACCAGCTCCGTTTTACCAGACACTCAATTCGGCTTCCGCTCTGCTCATTCCACTATTCACCAGCTCCACAGACTGGTCGATGCTATTTCGTTCTCCCTTGAAAAAAAAAGTTATTGCTCCTGCGTCTTCTTGGATATATCAGAAGCATTTGATAGGGTATGGCACAATGGACTGTTATATAAAATAAAGCCTATATTCCATCCAACATCTTGACAATTGAATGCCGACTCACATGGTCACACCACATCAAAATTAAAAAGCTTGCCCTAAATGCTCGTCTCGACATCCTTAAAACCCTAATCTCGAACAACAAACATACTTCTCTAAATGTCAAACTCCTAATTTATAAATCCTTATTCAAGCCAATATGGACCTATGGCCTCCAGCTCTGGGGCAATGCTAAAAACTCCAATACAAACAAAATTCAAACCCTTCAAAATAAAATCCTTCGCAAAATCACAAATTCTCCACCATACATCTCTAACTTAACTTTACACTCTGACCTAAAAATCAAAACAGTTCATGAAGAAGCAGTCACTTTTTACAAACGTTTCCATTCCAAACTTCCTTTCTATATCAACCCACTCATCTCAAATCTTTCCTCCCTCACAATTCCTGGAAACCCCCCCCCCCCCCCGGGNCTTCTTAATAACTAATAAACAATAACTCAAGTAAGAGCAGTGTTACCACTGGGTAGCTCCTCCCATCATTCAATCATGTTATTACCATCTATCATCACATATTCTTATTATTCCTGAGGAATAGATTGTATATTATAAAAATTTAAATAAAAAAAAAAAAAAAAATGATTTTTATAATTTTGAGTATTAATCAGTTAAGCAAATAAATGTTTAGGTATTAAAAAACAATTTTGTTTCTTAATATCACAATAATATTTTAGAATTATTTCTGATATTTTCAATTTTCCTTATGCTTATAATTTATTAAGTTATGACTATTGTTTTATCTTTTTAACAATTTGATGAACATAATTTATTATTGAAATATAATCTGATTTACTGTTTCATATTATAAATTATATATGTACATTTCTAATGAATTTTTTTTTAAGTAAATTTGTTTTTTTATATTAAAAATACCATTTTTATCACATTAAAAATACACACAATTAATATTCACTATTTATTTGAACTGATATTTGAATTCAAAATTATTTTATTACATATATCCTAACTGCATATTGTATATGAGTTATTTATCTATTTTATCTATTATCTATTTGAATAAATATAATATAATAATGTTTAGATCTGATAGTAGGGAATTGTTAGTTTTTATTTAATAATATAACAGGAAACTTACTATTGATAAAAAATACTTTTATAATTATATGTATTTAATTTATATACAAGAAAATAATTACCGAACACTATAATTCATTTAACTAATTTATATGTGAACGGGTGCTTCTGACATATTTATTTATTTTCATTTAGATCCTGAGCAAAGCAAAAGATGTATTTTATTAGTGCATATTAAGTATCTACTTTGTAGAAATATTTTTCTCTTTATTTAGGTATTGTGTATACTCTAAATTGAGTTTACTTTGTTTATTTGTGCATGTACTCATCAATACAGTTGTGAATTAAATTAACTTAAAATTTATATTGTTAATTTATACAATAACCTTTAACACATCAGTTATATCAATCAAAATGTTCCTTAATATTTCTTTACAATACCTAATACTTGAGTAGGTATTTGGTTAGTAGGTTTTGTAATTATTATTATATTAAATTAACTTTTTTCTTTTATTATTTTTTTAGTGGAAGCCTGGTGAATAATTTTATTAAATTGGATAACTAAGCAGTTGGTCATTACACTCATACGAGTTTACAAAAACTCAAAAGTGAAGTTAGGTATCATAGTACTATACAAAAAAAGGACAAACTGAACCAAGAATAAGTATAAAACAAAATATATTTATATAAAAATAAAGTAATTTTTATAACTTGTGTATTTTGTAAAAAAATAAAATGAAAAGTAATTATAGTGATTGTTTTTATTTGTATAGAAATTATTTTTGATTTATTATTACTACAATTTTCTTTAATACTTTTATGAAGAGAAAATTATGACAAGGTATTTTTTATTGTATTGATTTTATTATTATTGTTTAATAAACACATGAATTGTAAATATTCCACTTCAAAACCTGAACAAAATCAAACTAGATAAAACAATGTAATTTTGCCAATTCATAGTTATATGAAGTGTCATAATAATGTTAATACTTACTCACAATTTGACTATTTTGTATTATAAATTATTCATAAGAATTATTCAAGGATAACTTATGACCACTAAAAGGTAAATATTATTCTCTAATAATAATAGTAAATTCATTGGTGTTTATACATATCATATAATGTATATAATTTAGAGTGCTCCAGATTATGTCGATTTCAGTCTCAAAAAATTTAAAAGAAAAATTTTTTTTTTTATAATGGCTATTACCAGCGGGGTTACAGTTTCTTTTGTAAAATACACATCTTTTTAATAGAGTGATAAACAAATGTTAACAATGTATATAGTATAAGTAATATAATAAAATTCTGACATTTTGTAAGTACCTACCTGTCTTTTTTTATACTAGGTAGATCAACTTATTACAATTATATTTGTTGATCATCGAGTTATAGATAATTCCTAATGAGCACCATAACATATTATTTTCTTGTAATTCACAAAAATATATCTATATTGCATACCTTGTATAAGTATTTCAATATAAAATGTTCCATTGAGTAAAATTAAAAACATAAATATTATAAAATGGAAATTATATTATTTGGTTGCAGTTTACAAATACTCGTACCACGGCTAGAAATAACACTCAGTACCTGAGTTTGGTATAAACGAGATTTTTTAATATTATAAGTATGATATATTGATTATTGAGGAGTGTTACATTTATGATATTACAAAATAATATGATATTTGATGATTTTTGCATCACATTCACAATATATAAAATATTGTATTAGGGTTGCCTAGCGTTAACACACACGTGGCGCAACATACTGTTATGAAAAAGATGCAATAAATTGTTATTTCCTCGTAGGCCACGAATCGTAGTTACCTACAATTGGACAAGATATTATTATGAAATAAAATTAAATAACTTTAAAATGTATTTTTTTCATCAATAACAAATTGATTTTGTTAAATAATAGTGTTTTTGTTGCACAAATGTGTAAGTTGCACACCGTGCGTGCGCCTTCAAACTAGGCCAAAAAAACACATAAAAATAATTTTTTATTAAAATACGGCCAACGCGGCAGCATTTCATAACCGAAAAATAAACGCAACGCCATCGCGTTGTGTTTTTCGTGCGGTGCATCCATGATTCTTTAAAAATGTAAAAGTGAATCATGTACAAGGAAAATAAATGAAAAAAAAAAAAAAACAATAAAACATTGATTAAAGGTATGGGGTCAGGTTACGTAGAACACACTGGAAAAAAGAAAATATGCTGTTTCATTGTCTGCTTTTTCATTTTACAGTAATCTACATTCTACATATAAAAACACATGCCTAGTCGATTCATAACATCTTGTTTAATTAGGTACATCCCAATACACCCAACCATCAGTTATACCTTATTGAAATAAATAATATATTACTTTGAGTGATTACCTGTTAAACGATTCATTCGCACATTCAAAAACTTCCTCTATCAAAGGAAATTATTAATTAGACCGTTCACTACCAACTTGACACGCGCAATGTAAGTAATCAGTCTCTTTATGTTTAGTGGCATTAATTTCAGTCTCCTCAGTACAAATTATACTCACTCCGAAAAATTAAAAAGTTTTAATTTGCAATAAATAAAACGCATCAATGTATAAACATCAAACATGAGTGGTAGGTATACCACCTATATATCTATGTAATATATCCTAAAAATAATATAATAAAATCTCACTGTTTAAAAATATTATTGATCATAACCATTTTATTGCTGATCTAATGTATAATATGACTGTAAATAAATATTTAATTACAATACCATAATGATAAATCATTTATAAACTTACAAATCGATTAAAACTAAATAAATAAAGGCAGGTAAATACCTGAAATAAATCTTTAAAAATCTTAATTGGAGAACATTTAGTTATAATATTCTTTTATTATTTTAAGTTTTACCAAAAAAATTTAAGTCTTGCTAAATTTATTTATTTACTCAAAACATCAAAATGGTTAAAATATCACATTACATAGATAAACGATGGACATTATTAACATTATCTACGATTACCTAACTACCTACATACTAACCTACATTATAAGGAATGTTATTTACCTAGTTATTTTAATTTAATAAAATACATTAGAGAATATCCAACATCAATATATTTGGATTTAAAATATAATAAAATTATAAAGCTTTCAAACTCAATCATTGTGATTGCATTGATTGTTACCTTTGGAGTATTTTATAACACACAATTCTAAAAAATAATTTAAAATTGTATTATAGATAATATCCAAATGTACAGATAAATTTTATTTATTTCCTTTATATTTTTGTTGTTGAATCAGCTTTTTCTTGATATGGGAAGCCAACATAAAAAAAAAATCTTCTTGTACTTACCTTTATAATAAGACAAAAATAGTATTTTTTATTTGAGATATTAAGTCAATTGAATTGTGTAATGAACTAAATTTCTATTAAAAGTCACATAATTTTTATTCTAACTAAGTAAAGAAAAATGTTTAAAAGTAGTTTTCTACCACCTATTGAATTACTTATGTAAACAGATATTTTAAAAAAAAATTTAGAAATCTTTAATTTAAGTAAAAAAAAAAAAACCTATATAACAATAAGTCACTAATAGGTGTTTACAAATAAAGAAAAAAAATTAAAAATTTGATGTTTATGTATCCATAAGAAAAGATACATTTTCCCACTATTTCTTCCAAACCAAAAAAACATTAGTTAGTTCTGATTTCACCAAAAATTGCTTTATCTTATTACACACTAAATGAAGTCCCAATATCAATTTTGATTTACATTAATATGCAAATTATTGAAATATCATTATAATTAGGTTTCACATAGTTTATTAACAATAACATACAAAGTAAATACAATGGGTGAATTCTTAGTTTACCAAATTTTAAAACTATAATTACTACCACATTATAAAAAAAAATTTTAATTTTTTGGTATTTAAAACTTAAAAACACAATTTTTAGAAAATTTGATTATTTTGAAGATTTTTTACCACAATTTTCAAATGAAATTTGAGCAAATTTTTTTTTGAAAAAGACCATCAAAATAAGTATTTAAAAACACACATTTTTAGATAAAAAAATTTCAAAAATCGTTTAGGTGCTGAATTGCATTTGTGCCTTTTGGGCGCTACAACCACCACAGGTTTTTTTTTTTTTTGGTATGGGAACCTGTTAAAGGTAACAATTGAATTAAAAAATGTGTCCCCTGAAATCAGATGTAGTTTAGGGTTTCCTATAAAATAAACATGGAGTTGGGATTAGTGTCTAGGGACAATACAGTGTCTAGAGGGGCGCGAGAGGCGCCCACACACAGTGTACAATGACTAAAGGAACGCCATTTGACAATGTTTAAGTTCTCTAATTGAATATTTGTATAATACATGTACGAGTGAATACTCAAAAGCCAGGGTGAGTTTTTTTTTTTTTTTTTTTAATTTTTGCTCATCGTTTAATTTTTCTGGTACCGATTGCTAACTTTCTAGGCACGGTACTGGGGGGGGGGGATTAGAGGGCTAATAATAATAAAAACCGAAATATTAAAAATAATATTCGTATAGGTAAATTAATTAAATAAAAAAAAAATAAATTACCTATGTATCATGAACGACTATATAAAACTATATATTTACTACACATACTATGAATTTAGATTTCGTTATTTATTATAATTTCTATAGGTATGCTATTCCATTTAATAATGCCCGAATAAATAATAATTAAACAAAAAACACTTGTGTTCACCACAGAGAACCTGAACGGTCACTCGCGAATGCAATCTCGGTTTTCGAAATTGGGGCATTCCTAATAAAAATGTAGTAAATTTGATAAATCTATACTCACTCAGTCATAAGTCGCAGCCGCGCAAACGGGTCAGTGCGTTTTGATAAAACGCCGCTGTGTTCGGTCTCGGCGGACGCTACACTATAGGTAATATGCGGGAGGACACTTTTTAATTTAACGCAATATTGATCGTAGAGCTGAAAAAAATTACGACACCGCATGGTGCAAAACGAATATTACACAATAGACTAGTTAGGTACGTCCACAGTTTTATAATTTCGTATTAACGCGGACGCGAAACACCGGCGCCGGCGAAAAGCGAATTATAGAAATGCGTCGCACGGATCTTGGGAACTCCGTCGGGTCTTTCTGACGGGTACACGGTGTACACGCACGAAACCAATGACCGCGTTTCGTGCACGCGACCGTCCCCGGTCCGGTCACTCGGAACGGCTACCGGGAAAATCTCGGACCCCCTCCCTCACCATCAAATTCGGACCGGTTGTGCAGACGAAGCGACGGTGACAATAGGCCATCGCCATAGTCGCAGTACTCGGAACCGAAATTTAAAAATAACCGGTACATCCACTAGGCCGCGAAAGCGTTTTGATAACGTTACGATTCTGACGCCGTGGCCAGTTCGTGCCTTCAACCACAGCACGCCGGCAGTGACACATAGAGCGAATTCGCGAGCGGCAAACGATTGAGCACCGTTTAATAACTGCGGAGAAATCCAGTGTGTCCGTTAAGCTAAATTTACAGCCCAATTCCGACCGACAGAGTTTGCTCTGTTTGGTTGATTATTTAGGCAGTTAGTTTTGGGTAAGCGAACATTTTAGGCATTTATAAATGCCGTTGACCAAAAAAAAGTATACCTATTGTGC